TTGGTTGCGCACACAGACACGGGTACACGTACACCACAACAACACCGGTGTTATCGATCATTGTGGGAGCGAGCATGTCAGAGCACGCGCGCGTACGAATGCGATTATCTTTTGTCCCTTCAACAGTGGATAGAGAATGCATGATGATCATGACTGTCATGATGATGATATGCACAATGATGATAATATTCATGATGGATGACGATGATGATGACGATGACGAATATGTATGACATTCAGAACTGTTACTGACGATTACAGTGATGGTGATATAATCAACGATGAATATTTATGACAAGGATTATATTCACAATGATGACGATGGTGGTTACGATACAGTTCATAGCCATTATGATTATGGTAATGATTTTCACAAGGATCATTCATGACTGCACAAGGGTCCAAATGCCACCACACTCCCCCCTCCCTCCACCCCCCACCCCAACATGTTTGTGACACGTGCAATGGTTGTATCAGATTAGACAACTTTTGAGCTCCGGGCATATCAAGAATACACGAAACATCTTACTTTAAATCCAGCAACTATCCTAAAATATTGCTCCGATTGGGGGGAAAGGGGATCTTTTGACTTCTGTTGGAACAACTGTCCTGATAGAATGATTCCTGGGAAACCCAAAAAACGAATTAACATGTTTATGTATATATATAAAATAATCACACTCCAACACAGAAAGAGGGATGGGAAATTACATGCAAAGAAGGTGATGTAGAATTCAGCAATTTTAATAACGGCGTAAATAATAAACCATGTGCCGTCGCGCTTACAGATTACACACTCACGTGAGATCGTGGATAAGACTCAACAACTCCTGCCCAGAGAACAGTCCCAAATAGCACAATGAAGCGTAAGAAATCAACTCCATTGCATTAATATGGAAGGAAGTAATTGGCTTCAAGAAAGGTTTCCCGGGTACGTTTTGTATTTGCTCATTTCCTTTCGGATAGGAGCACCCACATTCTAGAGCGCCATTTCCTTTTTTTTTCAAAGCCAAACATTAACATTTGGTCGAAGATCGTCCTTTCATCACCGCGGTGCGATAAGTCTGACCGTGATAAGGCAAATCAATAGGAGCTGCCTCCACTTGCTTAGTAAGTAGCAGTGGAGTTGGAAGGCCTGCATGACAGATACACAGGGTAGGAATGACCAATGCACAACTAAGTAATGGATAATAGATTAATATACATATGCAGTATATTCACTGTTAATCTGGGCTTGTTCAGAAAGTAGGTTCATATAGTTGAACCAAGTGGGAGAACCTGGGACAACTGGTACAGGTGTGAATTTGAACAATTTGTGAAGTACAACTGGAGAGAAACCTAAAACTGTGAAAGCCGCAATGCAGCCGATTAAATGCCACAGCTAGGAGGAGGCAATGTTGTTCTTGGATTCCGCCAGATCATTTTTTTATTTTGGTGATCATATTCAGAGCCATTATTTATTGTTATGATTATCATGATTATCATCACGATGATGATAATATGAACAATTATGATGAGGACGACCTTACAAACATATACTTAATATTTGCGAAAAAAAAATTTCAGGACCAAAAATGCCCCTTTTGTTTGCTTCACTTTTCTCATCCCCGCATTCCTTTATGAACACTTCCCACAATTCCTACACCGTTATTATTTATATATTATTATTATGCTTGTTTACCAAGGAAAGCCCGAGACTCATGACTCAGGAGGGTCCTGTCCAGTTGTTTTTTTTCTAATAGGTAGCGCTGATTGTTAAGGGTAATCCGAATTGAGTAACTATTTTCCAAAATAACTTCCTCTCTTACTCCAGTATCAGTGTGCACAGCTATTGCGTTTACAGGCGGTGCGTCTGCACCAGGGCATATGTGGACCCTAGAGGCACAGGCGTTGTGTTATGAAGGAGGAGGGAAATTTGATAGGAGCCACATGTCATACCTTGCACAAGGACCCATGCCAACGACGTTATACCACTGTCACCTTGCCCTCCCATTTCAGGGCTGCTCAATGACCTGGGAAGTTATTCTGCTCCTGCTATGCTAGCTGAAGTCCATCATTCAATAGGTTACGTAACTTTCATTTGTTAAACCAGGGGATAATTCAACAGACCAGGGGGGTCTCATTTGCAAGAGTGACCTGGGGCATTCGTCTGCCAGTAGGGTGCGATGACTGCTGCTATGGATAATCCCAAATGAGCAATTTGGCGAATTTGGCAAATGTGGACCTTGTTGACGCTGGCACACAATGGCGCACGCTTGCAAATTATGTCACGGGCTCTTTTAACACGCACCGTGAAGCAGACGGCACGTAGTATTAATTTGGTTATTACGTCCGGAGCAATAATCAGAGCGGCTTCTGGATTCGGACCGGAACCTTGCTCATCTCGACAAGGAACATGAACCATCACCAAAACGGCTTTTTGCTGGCCATCGAACAATGACGGTCACCGCATCGCGCGCTTTCAGATGCGCTTCTGCAGCCGTCTGGAACGCTCTTCCTATATTAAGAAGCCACTGGAGCTTCGCACTTTTAAATCATCTAGATTGAAAACGAATTTCTTTAGAGCGCCTTTTTGTGTTTAGTTTGTTGTCCTTCCCCCGCACCTCCGATTAGCACAGTGGGCTACGTACGGCGCCAAATAAGTTTAACATACGTACATACATACTACGAACCTCTTGCAACAAGCGGTGAACTATAGTAATAGGTTTTACCCTTTTAACTGGCACAAAAAACTGACACCTTTATTCAAGGCATCATGTCTGCAATAACCACAACACAAGCAGTCAAAATGCAAACAAAAAGACAACTCTGATAATGATATGCACTGTCCTTGAATTTGATTGGTCCACACCCGAGACGGCTTTCTTTAGAGCCCTTAGTCTCCACTGGTGTTGGACCAGAAGACGCCAAAAGGCGTACAACTCAAAAACAGCGCACTATCAGAGTATTGAGGGCTCGGGGTGAGCATTTAAATTATGAGACCTCCTTTGCCAGTAACAAGATATAGTAATAGGTTTTACCCTTTTAACTTGCATCAAGCGGTGAACTCTTGCATCAAGCGGTGAACTCGTTGCCACTGCGAGGCCGCCCGCGTCCCCGCTAAATGCCTGTGGATGTCTCGGTGCCCCAGACAGTCACAGGGCAACCGCGCCACTTGAAATGTGAATTCACTGCGGGCTCTTTGGATCACGCAGCGACGTTTTGTTGTTGCTTCATCACGGTGGGCTGAGCACACGTCTCAAAGGCTCAAGCGGCCAGCTGCAAACAGCACTATTGAGGCAATGAATGGATAAGAATTCATACAATTTTCTTAAAATTGAGCAAGGTTGTTATTATTGTTATTATAAGAGCCTGGGAAAAGAGCCGATGGGAGGGAATTCCAAAGTCGAGCAGTGCGAGCGGAGAAGTGGAGAGTGAAATGACGTCCACCTGCAGCAGTGTGGTGGTTGAACGCAATCTCTCTGCCCACTGCTGCAGTGATGCTGGCAATGAGCGTGTGCTGCGAGTCATTCGAATCAGGTTACTTCAGTTACAATGTCAACAGAACACGAATACAACGTCGCCATCATAATACACAGATTGATAGATCAATAAATTGCAGGCATGAACGCAGCGTGTGTGTTGGCAAGACTTTGGGGGTCCTTGGTGCCGTGTATGAACAATAGCACTTTGGGAGACAAAGACGGATGGGCCTGTTACTTGCCCGACCACCACCCCCTCATGAGCCGTATTGGCCTTAATAGACGCTCGCTAACAACAGAAACGAGGCGGATCTGCCTCTGTTCTGTAAACGGTCTCAATATCATTGTGATGTCCTGCAAATGCGGTATTGGAATATAAGGAGTTGTATGCGTTACCAGTTCAGACTCTGTGCCAGGATAGTGGACGACATGCACACACAAGTCTACACGTACAGCCCTTTTGTCAATCCACTGCTGGACGAGGGCCTCTATGGGCCATATTGGTTTGTAGGGGCGGGTCATTTGACCAAACCTTCATCACGCTCAATCAGTAAGGCACCACATCTATAGATGAATTATACGTTGTGATTGTACTGCGTTAGCAGTGGTGTACAAAGCACAAATAACATTCGACGAAAACCAATCCCTCAATAACAGTGACCTTAAAAAAGAAGGAATATATGATAGGCGATGTTTAGAGTAATTAACCTTCTTCTGTACAGCAGAGATGACATATGTGCTGTGCAAAACGGACATTGCCTGTAATATACTGTACTCATTCTCTTTAGGGCAGTCATAGCTATAAATATACAAATGCATGCACCATATGTGTACACACATATGGTGCATGTGCAAACACGATAAATCATTACCCCAAAGGAACTTCAAGGAAGATGTAGCCAACCAAAATTCATACAGAAACAGTACAAACATGTGCATGCTTACGCATATACGTGCGTGCATACATACATACATGCACGTAAGTACATGCATAACATTTTGCATGGACACACATACAATGCACACCACATGATCATCATAATATAGGTCACTCAATGCCTCATTTAAACATACATGCATACATAAAGAGTCAAACATATACGTGTTTATTACGTACACAGTAAAACACAAGTGCATATGTGTGAATACACATGCGAACGTATAAATGCGCACATATACACGCATGTCGTATGGGAGTGTCAAATACAATGACATGCACAATGAAACTCATTCATACGTGTACTCTCATTATTACGTGTGTGTACACGCATGCACATACACACCATCTTGTGTATACACATGCTTGGACATACACCTATGCGCACACACATACGCCTTCTTGTGTACGCGTGCGTCAGTCAAATATGTATACATACATCATTATGTATGTGTACTTGTGTGTATTACGTACACACGCATTTACACACTCACACACACACACACGTTGCTCAGATGAACACACACGTCCACATGCAGGCTGCTCAGGTGCAGTCAAACGCAGTGAGGTGCAAGCAAGGTGAGACACTCGGAGCCCTTCACCTGTGTCATTATGTCGGGACTCCCGAGTCCTTGCGGTGGAGTCACGTCCATGATCGATCCTGCGGCTTCTGCAGTCTCAGTCTCACCAAAGTCTGTCTCCCTCCCTTACACCACCACCAGAAACAGCACCGCCGCCAACCACCACCACCACCACCTGCGCTCTGTCCCCTCCTTCTCTTCTTCCCCGATGCCGCAGCCCGATGATGATGATGGAACCGGAGCCAGGAATTGCGCACCGAGAGAGACGATGGAGACCTGACGAAGTGGCTGGCCAGCTGGCTAACTAACTTGCTATCGATCCGGCTGGCTGGATAGCTGATTAGGATGTATGTCTGGCTATCTGGCTGGATGTTTGGCTAACTGGATGGCTAGGTAGCTGGCAGGCTAAGCTAGCTATCAGGCTGGCTAGCGGGCTGGCTAGCCAGCTAGCTGTATAGCTGGCTAACAAGCTGTCCGTCTGGCAGCCTGTCTGTCTGGCTATCTGGAATGTTGTCTGGTTTGTCGAATGGAAGAGGGAGACACTCACTCACCGGTGTCTCCCGCGCACGCAAACGGCACGGAGAGACGGGCGCAACCACGGCGTGCGGCCGGCGCGCAGCCGATTTTGGTCTGCCGAGAGGAGGCGGAGTCACGGCAGTGGTGGTGGGAGCGAGGGTGCGGGATGGGTGACGTGAGGTGGTACGATGAGATGTGACGGGGTGTGTGGAGACGACACAGGGGGTTGGTATATGATGGAATGGGGTGTGATGGTGTGCATTAGACTATTGGGTGTGGTGTGTGAGAGAATGGGGTATGATGGTGCGTTAGACTATTGGGTGTGGTGTGCTAGAGAATGGTATGTGATGGTGTGCGTTAGACTATTGGGTGTGGTGTGAGAGAATGATTTTTGATGGTGTGCGTTAGCCTATTGGGTGTGGTGAGAGAATGTTTTTTGATGGTGTGCGTTAGCCTATTGGGTGTGGTGTGAGAGAGAATGGTATGTGATGGTGCGTTACACTATTGGGTGTGGTTTGCGAGAGAATGAGATGTGATGGTGTGTTAGACTATTGGGTGTGGTGCGTGAGAGAATGGGATGTGATGGTGTGTTCGACTATTGGGTGTGGTGTGAGAGAGTATGGGATGTGACAGGTGTTAAGACTATTCCACAGCTGCACCTAATTTACCTTTATATTGAGATGGTGAAAGTACAAAAGTGGGCCCAAGCCCACTTACCTACTGTTCTTAAATCAATGTCTCGATCTTACCCATGATCTCTAATTCATGTGACCTCTTTCTGTCTCAGGGTAATTCCAAGCAAGACTGCACTTTTCAGGTTTTGCACCATTATCTTCATCGATGTCCGTGTTTCTGAGCCACCTTTTAGCAGCACAAAGCACATGATTCAAAACATACTGCAGGGCAGTTATTTAAACCCACTCCCAACTCGTCCTTCCCACACATTTAATCATTTATATTCCAGTTCACCCTCATCAAGAGTACACATACTCTTGGTGTTTTTCAGTCGTGTCCCTCCAAATAGATATCATTCGTTTCAATTGTTAATGACTTTAGTTCATATTCATCTTCAGACTTGCTTCGGACTATTCATGCTTCATTGTCGTTACTTTATCCTATGTTTTGCTTTTGTAATATTGGTGACCCAGGTCGCTATTGTAAACGAGGCTCATCCTGGCCTCTTGAGTTCTCACTTATTTAAATTCCAACTAATTTATGCTTATAGATCGCCTTCACTCCAGGTGCTGACCATCGTAAAAACCCGGTGACAGAACAGAATGATTCAGATGGTAGGGGGCGTGCTACAGGCATTGCGGAATGAATGACAGCGATAGAGGGGCGCTTCGGAATCACGAGAGGGTTGGGGAGGGGACAGGAAGGAGTAGAAGGGCGAGATGAGGGAAAAGAATGGACAATATAATTTTAAATAAACCAAGGCCTAAACAGTTAAAACATCGCAAAACCATAAATACGTAAAACATTTATAAACTATGGCAGCTATACTGAGATATTAAAATGAACGTGCCATGCTGTCACACAAGGTATGCAGTGACCGCAAATTTTTCACAAAAAATGTGGACGCGAGGAACAATGGATGAATGGGAATGGAGAAACTGTGAACCTCGGAATTTTTCTCGGAGTCATTAAACCGTTCAATGGGAGCAATATAACGGGATGGCGGCGTGTTAAGACTGGGATTTGTGCGCTCGACTGATAACCGGAATGTTATGGCGAGATCGTGGACGACGGTATGTTGGTGAATTCGTTCGGCTGGCTGGAATAATACATGAAGATGTTGTGTAACTTGGTGAATGTGTTACACGGGACTCACATGGTTGCACAAGTGAGGTTTAAGTGTGGCCGGTGTGTGCATAAGAATTGTGAAAAAAGATTTGGACAATTTTTTTAAGATAACCGAATATAGACGTTAAAGTTATTTTGTAACCGAACGTAGCCAACCGTGCTAATCGGAGGTGCGGGGACGACCTAAACGCAAAAATATACAAGCGCGTCTTCTCTGATATGAAATGATTGTATATTACTTCATCAACCCAGTTCGAGCAACAATGCCACATCGCAAATGCCCTCTTGTGGTCAAGGATGATTGAGGCTCGTAGGTGTCCTTAATACAACTAATTATTCCTCGCATTATTCAGACATTTGCTAATTACATGCTATAACTCCTGATACGTCAGTTGAGGATTATTTTGACCATACTTCACCAAAATGACCAGTTAAGGGTGAGGGGCCAGGACCATTTAAGATTTTGGCCAGGGTTGGTGAATCGAACCTAGGTTGGCTGGTTCATGACACATTTCTCCGACTTCGCCAAAAACACACCGCTCTCCTGCACCCATTGACACACGGTGGTTTAACACAGGCAGCAAACGGCAAGGTTTGCTGAGGAAGGAAATCAGCCAGTCTTCGTATACTATACGGAATTTATTTCTAAACTTGAACTGTACACAGTGAATGCCCTCACATGCAAAAAATAAATGTCAAAAAGGAATTGGTAAAACATGCAAGATGAAGAAAACTCGCATCTTGGTACAACACATGTTTTAGAAAATATGAAATACTGTAAAGTGACAAAGACCTCAAGGGGGTGTTTAAATACTGGAATAAAATAATACGCGGTACATCGGAAGACTCCCGCAGGCACTACATGACAAAACCAAAATATAAATAAAATGACCAAAATTTACTCTTGCTTTAATTATTGATGAAAGCTACCATCCCAAATTGTGTTCTCGCAATTGAGGCTTCCCAGCCCACCGCAGTAAACGTTTCCAGTTACACTCGATCAATGAAAAATACCCTGGCAGCAGTTGCGGATACTTGATGCTCAAATCGCAAATTGAAACATCTCCGGTGTGCGACTGTGGTCACCCAGAATAGGCTATGGAACATATAACGGCTCAAAAACCCGATTCACAAATACAATGAAAAAAACATCACAGCAGCGATACAAGACTCTGCTACTCCTGATCCAATTATTTAGCTCAACCACATCAATGTAAAATTGTAGTTGCTCTACCTCAACATCAGCCAAAAAAATCATGAAAACGATTGTAAAACACGACGAAGACCAACTGCGGTGGAGTGGGTGAGGAGAGACGTTTGTGATACCCAATGCATAATCGCCCCAATTAACATTAACCAGAAAAACACCGCAATATGGAGGACACGTTTGTGCGTTTGTACATTTGATTGTTTGCATGAGCAATGTTTACACAAGATGTGGAACCTATTCCTTTGAGGGCCCAATAGGATTTTCAAAGAATTTTGGAGGCCGCAAATATTAGTTCGCAAAGCTTTGTGCGAACTAATAACGCAATAACGTGCGTGTCGACCCAACACAAACAGGCCAAAAGAAAGAACCAAAGAGTATGAATTCCTGCAGTCACTAAAGCTTCAAATCAAGATCGTTTGGGGGATGTTTTGAAGTTGTAGGCTTCAATGTGGCTATGGGCCGTATGAAATGTAAGTCTAAGTTATCCACCCCCAGTTACAGCGGAGTGGCTACGATGCATATATGCAAGGCCCCTTTGCCAATACACTGCTCGATGGCCTCCTGATGCCATGCCAGTCATTGGGGGTTGTTTGACCATACTTGACCACCATACTTGACCAAAATGGTCAATGCGGGTTGATAGAGGCCTAGAACCAGTTCAAGTATCACGTGAACAGATTTTAGCCATGGTTGGGAATTGAACAGCGGTTACCGGGTTTCCAGAGGGTAGTGTTCTGCGTAATATGAAATAATTGGGTTGAATATGTGTCATTAAGCCCGCCACCACTCAACACACCCAATTAGTAAATTATGTAACGTAAACAAAAGATGCCCATTTGTTACGAGTACAGCACAACGGTGTGTTGTAGAGTAAACCCACTACAACATTTACAATTCGAGTACAACATTTCGCCAGTAGTTACAATGAGACTCATCAGGCGACAGCCAGAGTTGTAAAGAAATCCTCCTGTATCGGTCTTAAATAGAGAGATAAATGTGATGTCGTCACTTGTGAGCCAATTAGGTGTGAAGACCAGAGGAGGAGGGTTAATGTATGCATATAAATTACAATAAATTACCTACGTGTAAAACAAATGTATATTAATGCAACTTATTTATCCAGGAAAACCTTACCAAGTCTCAAGGCTCCTGCAATTCCTTTTTGAATAGTATTCTGCATGTGGGAGAAAACGGGAGGGTGCAGAGGAAACCTACGGATACCTGGGGGATAACACTCAAGTCTTCCCAAGAGGGATTCATGAGACCAGGCGCTGTACACAGCCATCTCCTGGCCACCTTGCAGGCCAATTTGATTGTCAGGTGGCGGTTTTGCTTTATAGGTGACCATGTATGTTTGTTCCAACTTCTTTCGTACCGCACGTAGCCAACCGTGCTAATTGGAGATGCGGGGGGAAAGGCAACAAACTTAACACAAAAAGCGGTTGTCAAGAAAGGAGTTTTCGATATAGATTTTTCTACATGTGAAACGTCAAAAGAACCAGAAATACTGACAAATCTGTAGGGGTGGCAATCCGCCTGTCGAAGTCGTTACAGCGTGTAGGGGGGGGTGAGGGTTTAATTGGGTTTATTTATGTTTCTTGTTTCTCGTATTCTGCCTTTTGCCCTTGGCAGCTCCCTTCTTCGTGGCCTTCACCAGGCCCTTGAACTGGCCCTGCATCTTCGCTCTTTTTCTGCAGGAAACGATCGTGAGACAGGGACGACACAAGGACACATGCACCCGTACATTACTAACACGAGCATGTAAAATGCATTTCATCTCCTTTTGGGCCGTTTCTCTCGGACGCCCAGATCGTCTTTTTAAAACTCGATGTACTGTAACGCGCAAGTTAATTTAGCGTTATTGATGGGAATACATATTACAAAGTCAATGATCAGATTGTCGACGCACACGTTTAAATGTCAAATACGATACAACCCTTGCGCGTCTTCGTATCTGTAAAACTCTACCATGTAGGGGACTGCTGAGCCCTGCCGCTGGTGCCTTACGATTGGTTGCTGATAAACCAATGACGTCGCAGCGCCACCTCTTGCTGTGCGCGCGTGGGAACATTTGCGCTGGCCAATCGGTTCAACCCTTATTAAAATCTGTCTGGATATATTATAATTAACAGGTTTATGTTTGGGTTAGATTGTGTAACCCATCACCACCGAACACAGCCAAGTAGTAAGGTTTGTCATGGAAACAAAACGTGCAAATTAGTTACTGCTTCAGTAAACCCACGCCATTTACAATTTGAGTGTGAAATTCCGCTGGAAATTATAACCAGCTTCATCGGGTTATTAGCCAGAATTGAACTGATTAACAACAGCCTTACCACCACCCCTCAATTGCAGATGAATACAAATTTACAAAACCACAATGGTCATTTTTTTTTCAATGGCACACCTTCGGTTCAGCTGTCCCTTGTCAAGCGGGACGTAGGCATAGGGATCCGGTTTTCCCTTCCTCTTCACATCTCCGGCTGCTCTCTGCGGGTCACAAGAAACGAGCACGTACGTACCCACACGCACACGCGATCTCACGTTAGCGCGAAGCAAGGGGGGGTATACACGCAATGTGCATGGCTGGATTGAATTACACACCATTGATTTTCTGATCGACTCATATGCCACCCACTCTTTGCTAATAGTGGCCATCTGCTATTGTATGCAGATCATTTGCCAGCCAAGCCTATCATGCCAGGTAACTTTAGAAGCCCTGATCGACTCAGCCTTAAATGAGTACCTGGTACGCTGTGTAAACACCAGCACTGAGGCAGACAAAGTGCGTCCGGGCGTACTGTTGGCCACTCGCCCCCTCGTGTGCTATGCTGGCCTTCGTAGGTGCTACTTGCTAACAGCATTTGCCCCAACAGTCTGTTAAGGCTAAATAGAGGGGGGGGGGTGGGTCTTTGTCCTCGGTATGCGAGTGTGCTTGCGTCTGTACGAACCTTCAAATGCATGGGCATGTGAGGACGAGCGTATGAACATCCAAGTCTGCGAATTTGTGTGTGTAAATATGCAAGTGTGAGAGCATGCGGAAAGTTGCGTGAACAGGAGCATGCGAGAGCGAGCGAGTGTGGTCCGCACGTAAAGGCGCAAGCGTGTGTCCGACCGAGAGGGCAAGCATGAGAGGGAGCACAATCATGCCAACGAGCGTGTGTGCAAAACTTGCCTTGGATTTATACGCGGCTCCAAATCCGGGAGCCTCTTTCTTCCCACGCACGGCACGGTGGATACCACTACCACCAGCTGCAAGCAGAGAAATGATTCAGCTCACGGCATGGACCCCAAAGAGGTGTAGAGCCTCAGTGGTCGATCCCCAACCCCCCCACCAAGTGTCAGAGAACAATCGAGCAAACCCCAAGGCCTTCCAGTGGAAACCAACGCTGAGGAGGCGTTAACGCACCTTTGTATCTGGGTTCATCAGCGCCATCGTCTCCGTCATCGTCCTTCGCCGCCAGCTTCCTCTTCCTGTTGCTCGAATTCTGCATGGGACAGCAAACCGCCGCCACGGGCCGTTAGCGATGGCATCGAGATGGGCATCCACCACACAGTGGTCACCCGCCATCGTCAGCAAACTGTCGGAAATGTGCCAAAAATCTCTTGTATATTTTCTTTAAAGACAAGTCTAGAAACTACATTAGGGGCTGTAATACGGTCTTCCCTAGCTTTATGTGCTGTATATGCGGCGAGCCTATTTGTACCGAAAATCCGCTGTATGATGCGGTTTGAATTAATTTTTTATGTGGCTATGCGGTTGGTTGTGGGACAATATTGTGTGTGTAATGTGTGTGTGTAATGTGTGTGTGTACTGTGCGCTACTCGGCAGGCAGCTGTCTCCTCGTGCGGTTTCGCTTTGTGTGCCCTTTTGCTGCAATGCATCTACGACTACCGTTAATAGAGGGGGGGGGTCTGTATCTCAAAGCGGTGCGGTGCTCATCATGGAAAGACCATGACTGATGACGATGGCAATGACTGTATGCAGTTGACCCCGACCAGGATTTGAACTTGTGATCTCACGATTGATTGAGGCCCATGTGCCCTCCCGACCGAGCTACGTCTCGGCTATATAAAATGACAGCACATTGTTGGAATAATAAGTTTCCCTTTCTTAATTAAACATTTCACACACTGCCACTTATTAATCGTTTCGTGCCGATTAATTGCGTTGCCTAGTTAGCGAGCGGCCGAGCAGCGTACAGTTTAATTAAAACCTCTCACCTTTCGCATGCCGACCTCCGCCATCATATCCGCGAGCTCCTCGTCCTCGTCCACTGTCGCGACACACACGCAAGCGTCAGCTGTCTCGTGCACACAAGCAAACCCCAATCGCTATGGCGGCCTCATTATTCATTAGCATTCATCGCCAGCAGCGATGATTAATCCACTGCTGGATAGAGATTCCTCTGGTACAGACATGGAAAGCTTCTGGAACCACAGTCGAAAAATAGATGTTAAATAATGTAGAAGCCAGAGGACATTCCGGTCGCACCCCAAGGTGAACAGGAAATGGCTCTGACTCCCAGCCACGTAGCTTTACCCGGGCCTGCCCACCATCATAAAGGTTCTTAATAACTGTGAGCAGAGAGTCAGGGACTCCAAAAGCACAAAGAACAACCCAGAGCTCAGGCCTATTGATGATATCATAGGCCTTGACCATGTAAATAAAACAAGAGATGTAGGTCCTGTTAGGATTCTCAACACCTCTGCTGTAGCAGTCAGACAGAAAATATGGACCACCCCGAGCCTGAAACCACATTGGGGCACTGCAAGCCTCTTCTCAGCGTGCCTAACAAGGAGAAATTGAATAATCCTTGCCAGAACCTTTCCCGGCACACTGAGGGAAACGCCCCTGTATTTCCTACAGTCTGTGCGGTTCCGCTTCTTAAAGAGGGGGACCACCAGTGCATCCTTCCAATCCTGCGGAACACGTCTAGTGGTCCAGATAGTTCTTATGTCATACAGACACACACACATACCTCATCAAATACTTATCAGTGTCGAGGCCTGGTTAGTCGTTGGATTTAGTTTGAAAACTAATTTCTTTAGAAGAGCTTTTTCTGTTTAGTTTATTGTCCTTCCCCCGCACCTCCGATTAGCACAGATGGCTACATACGGTGCGAAAGAGGTTCAAGCATGCACTCATACACACATATATTACCTTGGCCTCTTTTCTTTTTCTTCATCTTTTCCTCCTCTTCCTCCTCATCTCGGATGATGAGACGTCCATCAGAAGAGAACTTGAAGTCGTGCTTTACGTGACTGCGCTGGTTTTGCTCAGGTTTGGTGGCTGAGACAGGTACACACACAAAGACATGAACACATACACACATTAGCATGTGTCAACCTGACATAACATTATCCAAAAACCTACCTTCTTGCCTATTCTAACTCACCATAAACCTTACCCCTGTAATCTTACCTACGAGCCAGAAATCCCACCACTAAGTCAACCATTCCTCCCAGTTCTATGCTTACCCTTAACCCCACCCACCAAAACCACGTTGTTTACCGGTGGTTAACCAGGGCAAGGTCTAGCCATGTAATCACTGAATTCAATAGTAATGTTTATGGTCAAAGACTTTCTCGAGAGGGGTCTGCACTTGGGATGTTTGGCCAATAACGATGATGAGAGATCGAGCAAACTAGAGAACACAGAGAAAACCCACACATGTATACGAGGTGTAACCCTGAACAACACGACCAGCCCCACCTAGCCACCTCGCAAGCCCACGACAGCAACCATTGGTAAGCCCTGGGGCGCTCACTCACCCAACTATAGCCCACTGAGCTATAATAGCTCTGTTTCAGAAGCAACCTTGCCAAAAATGATAGCTCACTGAAGTGGCTTATCACGTGAAAATGTATAGCAGCCAAATACTCTAAAAGCACATGTTTCTAAATGTGGAGGGAAAATCCGGAGAAGCCGGAGAAAAAACCACGCGACCACAGGAATAAAGAAATGCAAACTCCGAATATACAGCAGTCGGGGTCGGAATCGAACCCACGACCTTCTGCACACCAGGCGAGGTAGTTCAACATCTCGCCACAAAACACAAGATGGAACGTTGTTTGCTTGGTGTCGGGATGGGGGAGTGGTGGGGGTGGTGGGGGTTCGGCGTAAATAACGGCGCTCGTCATTACCTAGGACTCTCTGCGCCACGCTCGGGTCGAGGAAGTCAAGGGGCTCGTCGCCCTCGCCTTCCTGCAGCCAGGCCTTTGCGGCTTTCGGGGCCTTCTTGCCGCCCCGGCCTGCAGACTCCTCCCCCTTGCCACCCTCCGGCTCCGAGTCGCTGTCAGCCAGCAACTGATCCACACTGCGGAGCGCGGGACACAAGCAGCATGAGGTAAAGCTCAGGACGGGACGCTAAGTCGAGCGATTCAGCAACATTTTTTAAACATTGTTGCTAAGTTTAAAAAAATCCCCCCTCTAGTACCCGATTATTGCGGGCAAGTTTAAAAAAAATATATATATAACTATTTTTTATTTTACCAGGTAAGGACCACTGAGCTATATAGCTCTTTTTCAGAAGCGACCTGGCCACAAATGACAGCTCAACGATTTGGCTTCTCATGTTGAAATGTATAGCAGCCAAACACTTTAAATGCACATTTCGAAATTTGGAGGGAACAACCGGAGGACCCGGAGAAAAATCCACAAGACCAAGGGGAGAGAGACACGCAAACTCCAAATATACAGCAGGCATCAGGGTGGGGATCGAACCCACGACCTCGTGTACACCAGGCGAGGGAGTTAACATTTCGCCATCGGTACGACTTGACAAAGCGGGCGACGAGTCAACTTACTTGTCCCGGACGCTGCTGCGCCTGGACTTAGCGTCGTCCGCATCTCCGTCATCTTGATCGTCGTCATCGTCGTCACCGCCGGCGTGCCCCAGAGCACGGTTCTTGCGCGCTCGTTCCTCTGCCTTGCGGATGTTGACGAGCACCTTGTGGTACGTCTCCGGCACCATGCTGTCGATCATCTCGTAGCTGCCCATGCGTGCACGCACACACACACACATACACGCAGTGTTCTATTTAGTATCCTTGATGATGATGATGTGATGATAATGATTATCAGGATCAGAAGATAATAATTCTGATAATTTTTAGGGTCAGATATTGATGATGATAATGATCAGATGATGCTGAAGATTATCAGGTGTTGATGAGGAGTGAATAGTGATGATCATAATATTCAGGTTTGGGAGTTTCACAAATCCATGTAATCGACCAACCCGATCACATACACATCCCAACATGCAAGGCCATAAATAATATACATTCCAGGCAAGGTAAACCCGACCCAGATAATTACATGATAGCAAGACATCTGGAGAAAGTGGTGGTGCAGTGGTACACGTATTGCACTAATGAACCTGGTGTGCAGAGTTCAATTCCCGGCCATGGTTACATCAGCGAGATCACCAACTCGCACTGACCAGGATGGCGAAGTATGGTCAAACAAATATCATGAACAACACTGTGTGAGAAAGATTTTACGAAGTACTGACTGAAAACATGAATGACCTGGCCAGCCAAACCTCTCAGTACAGATTAAACAACCCCGACACCTGGCCAATCGGTTCACCACAAGAAAAATGGCTTTTACAGCTTTAGATTTTTGTTAGACAGTCGATCGTTGGCATGCCGTGACCCGTGGCCGCGCTCTATTTAAAGTCTCAGCACTCACCCGAACTTGCGAACGAGTTTTGTGAAGATGTTCTTGACCTTGGCGCGGAAATGTCTCCTGCTGTCGTCTCGCCAATTAACAATGCCCTCCACCTGTGTGATGCGGACACACACATATACACACATATACACACACACATACACACACATACATACACGAGACATACAAAGGCATTGATTCCCCATCATATGTAAGCGAGCACCTATTAATGCCGGTAGGGCAAACCATAAAGTGGGCAAGCACCGCACACAATCCTAGCTACTATATTCTTGGGTCTTTCTGTAAAGTCACGTAGATATGTTCAAACAAAAATAACTAAAAACTACGACGTTTCGAACGCAACACCCCACACCCCCCACCTTTTCCTGAAGACGACCGCTTGTGTTGCGATCGAAATGTCGTAGTTTTTTTGTTATTTTCTTTGAACCTATCTACGTGACTTTACCGAAAGACCCAAGAATATGAATTCCTGCAGTCACGAAAGCTTTAAGTCAAGATTTAATCCAAGCTACTGTTATGTGCCCACTGCTGCTCATGTTCAAGTTGCACAAGGTATTACTTTTAGCGCCTCTGACCAAATCAAGAGGAATGCTCCCAATCTCGTCAAATTTCTGGAAGCTCAGCAGAATTGAGCCTGGTTAGCTCTTCGACAGGCCGTCAAAATGTACAACAGGTTGTTATAGGCTGCTGCAGGACCACGTGGTGGGCCAGCAAAACACATCGTCCACAGTTCAGACATCTGGACTGTGTTGAGTATAGTTGGGCAATGTAGATTAAAATAATTATGAATCTCATTATATGGCTATCTGTTGTTTAGGTTACAGTGCGAGTTGGAAGGGGGGGGGGGGTGGTGGTGGTGGTGGGGTAGGCGGGCGGGGAAGGTGACGCCACTTACGATGAGCTGCACGTGCTGTGCCAGCGTGCGCACGTCCGTCACAAAGATGACGACCTTGAGGAACCCGAGTGCCGACTTGACGACGTCACGCGTGTGTGACGACAGCAGCAGTACCACGTTGGACAGCAGCTGAGACAGCACGCTGCCCTCCAGGTGGTCTGCGAGTGGACGGGCACATTGGTCAGGATCACTTTGGAATGTACGCACGTGTGCTGAACTTATTTCGCACCGTACGTAGCCAAAGGTGCTCATCGGAGGTGAGGGGGGAAGAACAAACTAAGCACAAAAAGCAGATCAAAAGAAAATCTTTTCAATCTATACTTTAAAAAGTGCATAGCTCAAGTGGCTTCCTAATATCGGAAGGAAGAGTGGTCCAGACAGCCGGAGAAGTGCATCTGAAAGCGCATCTCAAAGCATGCGATGCGGTAATAGCCTTTGTTCGATGGCCAGCCAAAAGCCACTGCTGCGACTGGTCACTAAATTCATGGAGGCAGCGGCACGTGACTAGTAGCCACAGGCGTAGCGGAGAGTTATACTGGATGTGGTGTGCTGGATGTAGAAATATTTTCCAGGTCACTGACTTGGGACAAGACCCAACTGAACTTGAGCCCTGGGACCTGCGTGAGAAGGCCGCTGACGAAACAAAACACGCGTGAGTGGGGAAGGAGATCACTGACCTTTGAACTCGAAGAGGATGCGCGTCAGGGCGAGCACGGTGCAGCTGATCATGGTGACGGAGCCAGCAAGGCCGGCGTAGACGAGGGCCAGGTAGCGCCGCAGAGCCTCTGTCCCGCGGAGAGGTCAGCCCACGAGGGGAGAGGTCAACACCGCTCAAACAACAGCGATCATTTTCAGTAAAGGACACGGCCGAGCATGGGAGCTCATAACATGGGGGCAATATCATTAACACACGGCTGAACTCAAACCCCACACGCATAGGCCCAGTCCATTACACACTGGGAAAATCAACCGAGCGTAGCTGAAAACAATGGCAATGTCGCAACATTGGCCACATACTGGCAAAGCCAATTATATCACAGGGAAGTCCACCATGCACAGGTGGAGTTACGCAGCATACAATGAGGCATCGATTAAAAAACAAATCTCATGCTCCCCATGCTTGCATCAAATAGCACGTGTGAGAAGCGGTTATGCCACATGTATGTGAAGCATAAGGAGGATATTATGTTTAGGCCAATGGCATGAACAAAAATCTACAAACAGGACAGTAAAAGTTGAACCATAATGGAATAATTTTTAAAACAAAGTACAGACGATATATTATATTACGGTTATACAACCATGACCCAGAATCATAGCAATTTACCAAATCGATAGGGATGGGGGGGGCAGCAGGGGGGGGGGGGGGGGGGGTGTAGAGGAGCAGGGGGCAGAAGTTGAATCGTAACAAGCTGAACTACTAACGCGGAAACAAACCAACATGCGCACAGATGAGCTTTGCTGCCAAACGACGATCGCTTGGGACCAAATCCACAACTGTCGATGGGAAAACTCCCTCCCCCCCTCCCTGCTTAGCATTGAGGCTCTGCCCACGTCTTGCGCCGTGGTCTCTCACCTGGTTTGTCGTCGGGCTGGAAGCGCAGGAAAGCGTGGCCTATCTCGGCAAGCAAGTTCAGGGAGCTGGTGCGGGCGCTCACCGCCACCTCCTTGGTGCACAGGATGACCTGCAGTGGCAGCACACGGACACTGTCGCGTTGGCGTCATACCAGTGGCGAAGCCACCGAGGACGCGCCCGGCCTCGTCAGATCTCACAAGGTCAACCAGAGGCGTTGAGCATGGTTAAGTGCGCGGAATGGGTGACCTCTGGTGCACACCAGGGTGCTGTCGACGCACGGTTACGAGGGTGTGTGTAGATATGTTGAACTCCTTTTGCACCATACGTAGCCAAACACTCTAATCGGAGGTGCGGAGGAATGACAACAAGCTAAACACAAAAAGCAGTTCTAAAGAAATGAGTTTGTTAATCTAGATCTAAAATTGCATAGCTGCAGTGGCTTCCTAAAATTGGAAGAGCATTCCAGACAGCCGCAGAAGCGCATCTGAAAACGCACGATGTGATGGCCATCTTTATTGGATGGTTAGCTAAAAGCCGCTGCGAGGGTGCTGAACAAAGGACTCAAAAACCCAAAACGCCAAGCAGCTAGCTACAGATTGCACCGTTACGAATTTTAGATAATAGTTGACAAGTTTCTTTAATTGAGCATGGTTCTAAGAACTTGCGTACAGAGACGATGGTAAGGGATTCCCAAGTTTTGCAGTTCGAATTAAGCAACATCAAGAGGAGTGTGTTCAGATGCCAGAAGACGGCAGTGCAGCAATGGGCGTGGTCCCCAGAGAGGATTTGCGGTCACTTGCTGGATTTAGTGTGCGGGGATTGACGATCTGTGTGGAGCTCTGGAGTGTTATACCCTCCCGAGTATTTCACGAGCGAGCACGCTCTAGTGGGCGCTCCTAAAAAGTCAGTTTAAAGTCTTACCTCGGGGATGATGGCCGTCAGGAAGTCCTCCCGATCGGCCGAGAGCTGTTTCACCACCAGGGCCAGGCACTTCAAGCGGGGCTGAAGCGTGCACAGGCAGACACAACGCGTCGTTCGCAAGTCAGTTTTGCCTGGTACTGTCAGAGCAACAGCTGTTTGCGAGCGCCTGTTATGGCCGACAACGTGCTTGACGGGGAGGATGGGGAAAAATCTGAGATACCATTCCAATAAACATGGAACGTTGGGCCAACTGTCGCAAACACATCCCATTCGCTCAACGTGGGCCCAACGATGATGCAATGTTGCCCTAACATTGCACGTTTACTAGGACGGATGGCTGCCTTGCGTTTGTTTTAAAATAAACGTGTTGTATCGACGCACGCCCCCGCCTGGTCACTCAGGTGGGGCAGAGCGCTGAGCTAGCACTGCCCAGAATCTGGGTTCAACCGTAGTCAGCCGCCTGCGATTCAATGAGCGAAAAGCACCGCGTGTGAGAAGGAAACCAAGGTATGGCAGTGTCCTACATTGAGCGACACCTAATGAGGCATTACCAAGACATTGCCTATACCGAGTAATACCCTGCGATGCAGCCATTAAACATCATCAAGGTTATGCTTATAATGAGCAAGAGCTTATGATAGACAATTCCAAAGCATTGACTATAAAACGTTATTACTGTCTATTACCTACAATGAGTGAATCCAGAATTTAAAAAATACAAAAATATTGCCCATGGTGACAATTGTGATGCACAAAGTACAGATTTCTCACTTGATGCTGTAGTAGATGCGTTCCAAGAACACACACGGTGCACACACAATGTCGACCCACGTCCGCCCGCGCAGCGAATTTTGGGTCAAAATAGGCGAGCCGCATATACAGTATGAAATCGAACAAACCAAACTCGCATAGAGCGAGGAAAACCTGTACCACACCTGTGATGTAGACGGTGTGCTATGGGGAAGAGCTATTGCCCACAGGGTCACCTATTGTGTCCTTTTAAGGCCACACAGACGTGTTAAGTTTGTTGTTGTCAAATGTGCTTGTGCACCCACTGCCAATGGCAGCAGCAACGATCACAAAATCATCGACCGCTCCTGACGAGCCATCCCCCGGCAATACACGCGACGCCGAGCTCAACGCGGTATCGTGAGCTGGGGGCGGCACCCGCTTGGCAGGGGAGGCGGTGGAGCGCAGGGAGGTGAGCAGCGCCTCCTGCAGGGACGCGAGGTGGCCGAGCACAAAGTTCTGGCACGCGGGACGTTCGCCTGCGCACGCCTCCTGCACCACGCGGTACGCCTTCTTCTGCATGCCCACGTCTCGGCTCTACAAGCACACACAGAGATTTCCCCCCCACACACACACACGGCCTTTTTCACAGACTTTTAGGACAAGTGTTGTCAGCGAGCATCTATTAAGGCTTGCACGGTAAATGCGGGATTGGGTGGTTAGCGAAACGCGCGGCTTATTTTGTCTTCCCATTGATGATCTTTTACGTGCCGCACCGGGTAATTTATTGTGTTACGGTTGAATCAAGCTAGCAGAGGACCAGATATACGAGGTTCGTTGTGCGGTACGCCAACCACTAAAGCGACCGCTCCCCGCCTGACACAAAGATAAAGATCAACCCGTATAGCGTTTAACAGACTGTTGGGGCCAGTGCTGTAAGCGAGCAGCACCTATGAAGGCCATAACGGCACATGAGGAGGTGGGTGGCCAGCACCACGCCCGGTCACATTTGGGCTCCCTCTTGGCGATGTTTACACACCGCACCAGATGCTCATTTGAGGCCGAGTCGACCGAGGGGAGGACCAGGACCAATTTAGATCATAGTCACTGGTGGTGGCCGTGATCGAGCCCAATTCACCAGGTTCGTAGCACAGCATGCTAATCGCTACCCTACCGCTCTCCCCGCCCTACACAGGTACACACACACATATGCAGATCCACACAAATTCCCTGTATAGCCACCCAGACTGTGTACGGATATTATTGTTTCACTGTTGTAACTGAAAAGGGCATAGGCAGCAGGCCACAAAGTCAGCAGTCTCGCGCCACCGAGCCACCTTCATTGTCAAAACCACTGTAGCGAGCGTCCCCTAGCGGCCGTATTCGTTTAGAACGCAGAGGAATCGCTTCACAGTAAAACGGAGTGTGGGGACTGCCCCAGCAATAATTTTAAATGTGCAGTTTATAAACTTTACGATGCGCAGGTAAGTATTGTTTTACACATTTCTATATAAATAATTCAATAATTAGTTTTCACTGCTGGTGTAGCCTGGCAGCGCCAGGCCCCCCCCCAGTTAACCAGCCGCCGCCTTGAGCTAAATCTAACCACCCGCGGGCCCAGCAACGGGCATGACTGCGCCGCGCGGCACGCCGCTCTACGTGAGACGCACCTGCAGGTGAGGCAGCACGGTGGCGTAGATGTTCGCCAGGTGAGCCTCATCCACGAACGGCGTCATCACGACCACCAAGTCCATCACCAGCAGCCTGAGCACAGGGGGAACAGACGCAGACCACTCAAATTGCCCCGGTCCAAACATTGGAGGGGTGGCACCCAATAGTACTTACCATTTGCCGAATGCAATGCAGGTCTTGTGAATCCGAATTAACAGCTAATTTGCAATGTTTTAAATGTTTTTTTTTAAATCAAGTTCTACGTCGTGTTGTGCTTCTTAGTCTGTCTCAACCCTCTGTGTGCCTGTTGCCGTATCTATCTCCATCTGTGTCTCGGTCTCTTCCCTCAGTCTGTCACCGTAAACCTCTGTCTTGTTCTTCTTTTTGCCTCAATTGTCGTCTCTCTCAGTCTCGTCTCTCGTGACGAGAGTCGTCCCTGTATTTCGTAGATCCTGTCTGCTGCGATGCTCTGCTAACTTTCTGCTCTGGTTCCACAGCAGGCCTTAGTGGCCATTCAACTACAACACCACACAACGCAAAAAATAAAACCACATCATCTTGTTTTAATTTGGCCAAACACAAATATTGTGGGGGAAGGAAAAACACTAAATTTAACAGATATTATTCACAATCATTTTTTTTAGGTTAGATCGTGTAATTGTGTCGTTAACCCACCACCACCCAACACAGCCAATTAGTAAGGTTTGTCAGGGAAACAAAAAACATGTTGTGGGTTTACTCTCCAACATACCATGTGTGTACTAAACTAGTAACAAATTGGCACATTTTGTTTACGTGACAAACCTTACTTATTGGTTTATTGGGTGGAGGTGGGTTAATGACACATTTATATTTACATGAACTAACTAAAAAAAAACCTTTATGAAAAAAACTGCGGTATACGGTAGACTTCGCAAGCCAAGTGAAGAATCGGTGACACCGTCATCCCTGCTCCAGACGGAGGGCCACTTCTTCACGAGAAGTGGCCGGCTGTGAGAAGTGGTCAGCTGTGACATTCAGGACGCCTGTTGGTGGAGATGCTCACCTGACCGCGTGCTCCGTCTGGGGATTTTGGAACTTGTCGCTCGCCTTCTCGAAGAAGCTGCAGATGAGCTGTGAGGAGCGGAGAAGGGCACGCACAGTAAAACACACAATTAACAACTGACCCCCCCATTTCAGCCGTTCCGACATCTGCAGTGAGCGCTGCTAGCTAGCGACTATAAAGGCGAGGCTGGGAGTGGCACATGAGTGCGTTTATGTCGCAAGCGACGCGCATGCGTGACTGGCCACCTGTGTATCTCCCCTGCCAAGGTGCGGAAGCTGTGAGGAGGCAATCGTTGTGCACCATGCGGGCACGCAAGGGGAAGCAGCGGTACGGTGTTGAGCGCGCTACGCTTCGAGCCCTCCGTGACCTGACTTCGATTCCCAGTGGCGAGTGATAACCAAAAGGGTCCTGGCACCCCCTCCCCTTCACCACCATGCACGGAGCAGTGAGAAGAACATTTGCAAAATAACCCTCCTAATTGACAGGGTGTGGAGAGGCTGCCATAGAGCCGAAGGCTCCTTCCTATAGGATGATTAGAATACATGTAGGAAATGTAGGATTCATCATTAATTCCCAAGAGCCACAAACAGTCAGAATAAGAAATTATTTGAGATTCATAGGATTCATTATTAATTCCCAAGGCTCACAGAGGCAGACTAAGTCTTCTTTAGGGCTCTTATGCTTCAGCATTAATGCCGGAGACTCACAGATGGAGTTTAGACAGTGGTTAATCTGAAAGGAACCCAAAAAGTGCAAAAAACAAAAATCGGTACCAAAAAAAAATTGACACAACAGGGGAACACGGTTTCAGCGGGGGTGGCATGCGCAGCAGCAGCGGCAGCATCGGTCGCAGCAGCAGTGGCGTCGAGCACAGCAGCAGTGGCATCGTGCGGAACAGCAGCAGTGTTGTGTGCAGCAGCAGTGGCGTTATTAGCAGTGGCGGAGGCATCGCGCTGGAGGCACCTGCTCATCGGTGATGGAGAGGAAGCTTTTGACCGTCTCGAGCACGGCGAGACGTGCGCCGTCGGGCGCCCCCTGCGAGGAGTCGCCCTCCGTGTAGATGTTGAAGAAGATGGGCAGGAAGTTCTTGGAGAAACGGCCGACCTCTGCTCGCTCGTCGTCTGTGTCGTGTGTGGGGGAGAGGAACCGGGTAAGCACTACGAGCAAGGTAGGGCCTTGTGCCGCAGACACGGCTGCCACTGGGGGTCCCCCCGTTTCCCCCGACCCCCTCCCCCCACCCCGTGGCTAGATTTCATCAAGGTGCATCGAGATGTACTGCATGGGAGATGCAGAATAGTAAGTGATGACGATGGAAAAAGAGCTGCAGACCATCCGTGCATGTTTTCCTCTCCCAATTGTATTCCAATTGTGCAAAGGACAATTTTAAATGACACAAACGTTCATTTGGAACTCGCGCAGAATGCAGTGCATCACACGTTCGTTAAATATAGGGCCCTGAATCGGCCCCTTTGTCCCGTGGCGTGACACCAACAGTACAGCTGGAATAAAGCTAGAAAAAAAAAACACGTTTTAAACGTAAAACAACTAATTTCAGTACACAATTGTTTACGATCAAAACCTGCACCCAGACTGTTCCAATTTAAGCAACCGGATGCCTACCATGTGACACTTGTTAAGACAGGGAAGCCGGTCCATCGTGTCCCAGCACAGGGTAAAGTCACGTGGGGTTAGAGGGGCGCAGGAGGAACCAGAGAGGCGGCAGTAGCAGCAGGGAACCGTGGGAGGGGCGGCAGTAAAACCAGTGTCTCATGGTTTGAGCCCCGTCCCACGTTCCCTACGCACCCCCCCCCCCGCCCCCATCCTGCCTTCAGACTCCCACTTGCATTTGCGGCCACGCATGGAGTGAGACCAGTGTTACATGGTCGCGTGGCGCTAGCCAGGGCGAGGTGATCTCTGTATAGAGCCACAAGGCCTGTCGGAAGACAGAATACGGTGCTGTTAAAAAGCATACCGGCGAAATCCTCAGCGGCGCCCAACGATTCATGGATTAAAATCGATCGTTGCGCTCGGGATACAATGTCAGTTTGCACAAATAGTCCAGCCAGGATTTGAAAGGGGGGGACACAGGAGGTGGGCATAGGCGGTTCGTCTCACCGGAGGAGCAACCCTTGCCGACGAGCGTACGCAGCGCCTGGCACACGAGCATGCGCAGGTCAGGACGCTCGGTGAGTGCCGTGCCGAGCACGCGCGCCACACCACGGAACGCTGGCACCAGGTCCACGGGGTTCGTGAAGAAGCCTGGCAGCAGCGACCACACCTGATGGGCGTCGACGATGACAGCGGCGGCGGTGGTGATGATGGCGGCGGCGGAGACACATGGAGAAAGGGGACGCATCAAGGTGACGTCAGCACGTGGCTCGAAGATGTTCGCTATGCGGTAACGGTAAAACCTCTGGAAGCCGCACTCGGCTAAGATGGAATTCGGGGTAAGTTTGGAAATAAACCCGAACTAAAGAAAGATGATTGAGATGCCACTACATTTAGACACCGTGTAGATTCATAACATATTGTTTTCTTTAGTGTTGGATAAACACGTGAGACGTTATTACGTGTAAATGTAATTGAAGTTCGGGAATTCTTCATTTAATTATCCAACCCCCATAACTGGATGTTTTTTTACTGTACATTCGTTTGCGATATAGGATCGGAGCGCACACGCAGGTTAGACATGTCCGACTGTTAAGCGGGCATGGGCAGGACCCGTTGCTTACAAGGGATGATAGCCGGCAGGTCGAGGACTGATGGAGTGGCAGCTCAAGAACCGAACATGTCCAATAACAGATGGGAGCGATCATCTCACACATGCAGGTAACTGGATGGATAACTGCATCACAAGACTGAGGGATGGTGACAGAATGAGGACACGTTCATCCAGCAGTGGATTAATAATGGCTGCGGATGTTGATGACGGTGGCATCCATTCGTGTGACGATTCAAAAGCCCTGGCTCACCTGCCACTGGAGTGTATCAAACAGTTTGGCTTGCAAGTTCTTTCCAGTGCTCCTGAGTTCCAAGGCTAGAGCACAGACATGCACACAAGTACATAGACAGAATACAAGACAGCAGCTGAGCATGACCACAACCAATTTTCATCGTCCACAATAAAGCGGACGTGCCGTTATAATCTGGAACGCATGGCGTGGTGGCACGGTGGTTAGCGCGTGATTGGAACAGCACTCGGTTACCAGCAGCTTCAATGTATGTTTGTGTATATATGTTTAACTTCTTTTGCACTGTAAGTAGCCAACCATGCAAATGGGAGGTGCGGAGAAAGGACAAACTAAACACAAAAAGCAGTTCTAAAGAAATTAAGTTTTCAATCTAGATTTACAAGTGCAAAGCTTCCTAATATCGGAAGGAAGAGCGTTCCAGATGGCCGCAGAAGCGCATCTGAAAGCGCGATTCGATGACCATCTTCGTGCTCAGGTTTGGTGGGGGGAAGCACGGAATGCGAAACTGTCAGCGCGACCCTCTTGCTCAACAGAGTCACGCGACACTGGAAATCACACAGCAGAATTTGTGGATTCCGCAAACTGGAGCCATGAGCCACTGTTACTCATACTTCTGAAATGACGAGGGTCGTGGGCGGCTCCAGTGAGTGCCAAGGGTATATAAGTGACAAAGGTCTGGGGGGGTGAGGATGCTTAGGTCAAGAGTCAGGAAGATGAGGTCAAGACGCTGGGCGGATGGGTCAAGCGTCAGCTGGTACCTCTGCTCTTGAACGTGGCAGCAAGGGGTAAGAAGTAGGAAGTGAAGAAGTGAATCTCAGTGTTGCGGATGTGGTCTCGCATTACGGGGAGCAGCCACGAGTGTGACAAGTCCGGTGTCTCCCTGCAACACGCACGTACACAGAGGCAACGATCACATTTTCAGCCTTAGACTATTGGGGCAAGTGCTGTTAGCGAGCACCTATTTAGGATAGCTTGGCATGCTATGGCGTGGTGTGGCAGTGTGACACCAGGTTCAAGTGCTAATGGTTTCACACTGTACCAAACCATAATTTAAAGTCAAATTACCCAGCAGGAGGGCCATGTACTGGTTGAGCCACCGTCCGCCGCTGATGCAAGCCATTGCCTCGAATCAGACCCAGGCTGCCGGTTGTATAGCAGGGAACGGACCACTGCATCACAGCTCTTCACGCACACCCACAGATTGATGTCCGTGTGGCCGGCTGACTGCCCTCTCTCCTAGTTGCCCTACCAGCTCCTTCCCCCTATATAGATCCACGCTAAAAAAAAATAAAGGCTTCGTAAAATCAGGCACAATCCACTCAGTTTGGAGGCGAGTGCACCCAAGGGATCTTGTGAGATGTACGGGACACAAACCACAACCGTAACATTCCGGAGTCCAAGGCGGCATTGTTGCCTACCCACACATTCACAGAGGTCTATCGACAAGAGGGACCCAACTCTCAACCAAAGGTCTCCAAGTAGGGGATGCAATGATCATGGACGTTAAGTTTGCCGCGCTCGGTTTAAAAAAAAAATCGACGGAGAAGCTCACTCGGTGCCCGTGATACCCAGCGGCAGCGCTTGGAGCAGCACGCAGGGACCCATGCTCTCCACTGCTGCCCCGATGGCCTCATCCAGCTCAGAGACATGAGCAAAGTGTCCGCTTGCACGCAGCTCGCCCAGCGTCACCAGGCACTGCGAGAACGTGGACACGGAGCACGGGGAGAGAGCAGTATAAAACACCGTGGACAATCGAGTACACATCGCAGGCTAATCATCCCTTCGTTCAACGAGGTAGACGCGTTCCTGAAAAGTGCCACGTCAAGTAAAACAACCCGTTAAGCGAAATAATTTGCACGTTAATTATGAAACGATCGAGTTTGCCGAGACACGATGTACGCACACGCAGTAAGATGGCAGTAGAAATAACCGAGGGTACACCGCCGCGTCACCGTATTATTCCGCGCGCTGTATCACACCGCTCAGCCGCGCAGCTCAAGAAAGTTGTTCGTTGTCGTCCACCGAGAACCAGCGTTGTAACGCGATGCACGTTCCGCGTAACAACGGCGCACGTTGCGCGAAAAGTGTTGCCTCACAGAAGAACCGTGTTGCGTGAACAGGCATTAAGCGGGGACTTAAGAGTACAACATAGCGACACAACTGGGCCGTGTTATTAAGATAACTGTGTTTCGAAGAATATATGGGTGAAGTGGTGGTTAGGTGGTTTGAACTGCGCTATGAACTCGGTGAACCGAGTGATTCCCAGCCATGGCTAACATGAGTAGCGAGTGAGATCTGAACCTATCCAGGGTCTCCCTCTAGGTTGAGCAAGCCTTAAATGAGGGCCTGATGCAGTGTACAAATCAAAAGCATTGAGAAACAAAAATCTGGCTTAGTGTGGTACAGTATCACCTGAAGCACAGTGCTGGCCTTAACAGGTGCTTGCTAATAGCACTTGCCTCATCAGCCTGTGTAGGCTACATGGGGGATATTTGTTTTTGTGCATGTAGATTTGAGTATGTAGGGGGCACAGCAGGTGCTTTCTGCCAGTCAGTCAACCTATGGCACACACCTGGGTCTGTTCCTCCTTCGACACTTAACGTGGCCTTAAAGTGCACATAGGCTGGCACAAGCACCATGGTATAACATCTCCGTCACTTAGTGGCGAATCACAGTTGTTGTTGTTATTGTACATGTATGTGCATTGCGCACACCTTGCTCATGATGGGGTGGCACTGCCGGCCGAGCACGCGGAAGAACGTCTGAAGCAGCTGCAGCACAAGCTTCCAGGCCGCGTGGTAGCGGTACTTGAGCCCATCCTCCACCGCCCTGCGCCGCGCGCCGCCACCATATACAACAGAAACATGATGCGGAGATATCAGAAATTCGGCACGCGTAACCGACATTTTTAAGCCTCTTTCCCAGAAGCAATAAATCATGTCAAACAGCCCCGGACACGTGGCCTGTGTGTTTATCTACACGTATGCAGCTGTATAAGGAGAATTGGTCAAGCATCCCGATGTAGAAGGACACCTCCTGAAAACGAGTCTTGAGAGATTCGGTGAAATAAACAAAACGCAAGTAATCATTAATATTACTTATTTGTGTGTTGCTATTGACCCCGACACAATGAGACATCCCAAAGTTGTTCCTATCCTTGGCTGCTCAGACCCCTTGATAAAATCATCACAGAGTCAGTGATTGGACAGAAGCACAAATGCAGTCATCACAGCAGCCTCATTACACAACATCCTTTATGATAATCTTAGAAAGACACTGCGGTGGCATTAAAATAAAAAATATAATCCGTGACATTTCTGGAAATTGGCTGTTCTTCATCACAACTCAATAGTCTCAATCATCATTGGCTTCTAATTTCTCTCAATAATGTTCTATTGCGTTTATATATACTGTTAGATATGTCTATGTTTGCATATGTATATGTGTATCTGGGCTTGTAGGCATGCCTGTGTGTACGCGTCTTTGTGCGTCTGTGTGTGGGGAGCTATGGTTTAGCATACTCTTTGTGTCTTTCGGTAAAGTCATGTAGATGGCTTAGCAGTTAGAATGCTCTCGGCCAACATCAGTGATGATTATCTGAACTGGTGCTGGGTCTCCCTGAGGTCGACTCAACCTCAAATGAGTACCTGGTACACTGTGTAAACATTATAACTGGGAAGACAAAGGCAGCTGGATGTGGTGCTGGCAACCCACCCCTCCGTGCGCTATGGAGGCCTTCATAGGTGCTTACTAACAGCACGTGCCACTAAAGTATGTTAAGGCTACACGGGGGATCTTTGTGTATGTCTTGTACATGTGTGCATACACACACAAATCTGTGTGAGTGTGTGTGAGCACACGTTGTTCAAACGGCAGGTGCCACTGTGTACGGGTCTTTGTTGAAACGTCTCGGGCTATTGGCTCAATAGGCGGAGGGGGGAACGCACCGGAACATCTTTAGCACAGGTGTGTTCTGCCCAGGAGCAGCTCCCTTCAGCAGCACGCCCAGGTCCTCGACTTGCGGAGCCACGCACTTCTCCAGCACCGTCTGCAACAATAGAAATAATGGCAGCCAATAAGTGATTGTCCTTCGAAATACTTAACCATGGCTTTGGGAGGCTTTCAATCGGCAGTGGATTAACCATATATGATGATGAGTAAATAACATTTGTCTCCAAGAGCCTCAGGGTGCTGCATTGCAATGTTTATAAAACTTCCTGTAAAATTGTCGTGCAAATAAAACAGTAAAAAGTTCTGCCAAATTTTACCAGAACTTCAGCAGCAAGTGCTGAATGCGAGCAACGAGGAAGGAATGAGGGCATAGATCCATCACATTGGTTACCATGAACCATGATGATGGTGACAAAAAAATTACTGATGGTGATAGCTATACAAATAATTTGTATGATCCAGATTACCATTATGATTAAGATGATGATGGGCAATGATGATGCAGATTACATTGATGATTCAGCTTATTACTATGATACACGTGTAGTGACTAACTCCGAGACGATAAGACTTGGAGGCACTTCTTTATTAACAAGCACCATCGGGGCTAACACTCTTAATAATTAGTCCGTCTATTGCCGGCGACGCTACTCAGTCAGGACAGTCGGTAGGCTGCCTGACTCGCGGCGCCCTGAGATGGTGAAGACGGAGACCACGACAAGGATGGTCATGAAGACGACGAGAAGGATGGTGACGAAGACTTCAGCAGCACGACGGGGGTCCCCCACTCCAACAACAGCCCCGAGGTCCCCTACAGGGGCCGTTCTTATACTCTCAGCGTGGCCTCGCTCCGACCCTGGCCACGCCCCCTTTTTAGAACCTACCAGCGGGTTCTTGGTGTGTCCCTTCTGTGACCTTTCCCCTAGATCCCCCTCTGGTGTATCACGTGGCCTGCTGACGTCAGGGCTGCCGTACGCCGCAGATCCCCTTCCCCGCCAGCAGAAAGCGCTATGCTGCAACTCTATGCCACTACACGTGTTGGCAGTGGTGCGCACCCCACCACATTCGTCAATAACACTGTGGCCTTAAAATAAAACATGTAAAAAAGGTGACATTTCAGGCAATGTTCTACTCAGGGAAATTACCCGAAATGCTGCCTAGTATATATTAGTTCTTTAAAGGCCACTGTTAATGATGAATGTGTTGAGATTTGTACTATGATACAGATGACGACCATGATGTTGATGCTGATAAGATTGGAGATCGGGAGGCGAGGCCAACATACCTTGATAGCCTGGGCAGCTGCCACAGCGACCTCTGACCGGTCAGACAGCATGCAGTTCATGGAGCTGTTGACCAGTCGGGGGAGATGGCTCAGGCACAGCTTGCCATTCAGCCTAAGTAAAAGCAAACACGGAGGGACATGTGTCAGAGATGCATATGCAGTGAGTTCAACTGAGTCGCAGACATACTCTTTGGAGGCAACACATTTCTTTATACCAGCACAAAGGGGTAACTGCCCCTTCACCAGATAACAACCTCGGGTAGTGGAACACCAGGCTAACTACACCAATTACACCGTAACTAGTTACATAACCACCAGGCTAACTACACTAATTACACCGTAACTAGCTACGTAACCACCAGGCTAACTACTCTAGTTACACCGTAACTAGCTACGTAACCACCAGCCTAACCACACTAAAACACTGGGAGTAGCTACAACAGACAGGACCCCAGCTTGGGTCCAGGTCCACGTGTTGGTGACTCTTCACGGACGTCGAAGGTAGATCTTCAGATGACAACAGCAACGATGAACCCCGGTCCCTCTGGGTACCCGGCTTATATCCTCCCTGGCCGTGGCTGGTTCTGGCCTTGGCCACGACCACCTTCTCAAATCCTCTAGCAGGATCTCGCCCCGACACGTGAGCACCCCTAGCCCCCCCACTTGGTGCCCCTGTGTAGACTTTACCAGTCACGTGTCCTCCGGGGTCAACCAGAGTGCCATGGCCTATAGTCACCCCATTCCATGGCTGACACTCTCACACCCCATCCTCTAGGGGTCAGCACTGCACACGGAGCGTGGTGCCACACAGTGCTCACAGAGCCCCTCTAGGGCCGGTACTACACCCACATATACGGGGTATCCGCGATGTGAGTACATCGCACGCCGTGCCTCTCCAGGGCCGGCATTACCAGGGACATCGCCGATGTCACTACACATACAAAACGCACACAAAGACCGACCGCATAGCCAAACAGAGTGATTGAGGCAGGTGCTGTTATGGGTGGCATGAGGGGGAACTTTACGTAGCACCACCTTTGCCTTCCCAGCGTCGCTGTTTATACACCGCGCCACGTATTTAATTTCAACCAAATCGACATAAGGGAGGCCAAACCTAACTCAAGTCAAAAGATTCAATGCACAGCGCACTAACCACTATGCTGCCACTCCCTTAAACACACCACAAGCACAACAACCGCCATCCGCGACTAAGTGACGGCGACATTCATCACAGCACTGGAGCCAGGCCAGGTGCAATTTGAGGTTAAATCACGTGTCAATGGCCCACTGGTGGGAGGTCATGGGATTGATCCAGGTGTCATGGGTCTGATATAACTGGCAGGCAGATGCATCCCACCTGTACTCCCTATGGCACCACAAGCACACACATGCGTCCACACACGCACACACACACCGAGTGTGAACAGAGTGGAGTTGCACTCACCGAGCCAGATTGACGTGTGCACTCTCCATCACAGCCAGCCAGGCCAGCATGGGCTGCACGTCATTCATGCTTGGCAGGTAATCGTACAGAGCCTGTGTTACAAAAAAAAAAACGCCAAGGGGTGCCCCCACGGTTAGCATCGTCGAGGCACTCTGTTTTCGTGTTGTTCGGCATGATTTCTGAGGTTTCCCTCCACAGGCTGATAGCTACTTCAGGAACTGAATTCAGAAAGTTCCCAGCATGTGTAGAGAAAAGTCTCCAGTTCGGTCTCCCGGTGCGGCAATTGACAAAATGGTGCAAGTTTCCGACCGCCTCTGTTCACCCAAAAGTATAAAAACTTTTAAATTTACCAGGTAAGGTCCACTGAACCATAATGCTCTTTTTCGTAAACAACATGGACACAAATGATAGCTCAACGTAGTGGCTTAATGTGGAAATTTATAGCGGCCAAATACTCTAAACGCATGTTTCTAAATGTGGATGGAAAATCCAGAGAACACGGAGAAAAATCCACGCTGTCACAGGGAGAACATGCACACTGCAAATATACAAGCATCAGGGTCAGGATTGAACCATGTCAATGGAACAGCATGTTGTGTGTGGTGGGGTACAGTGTGCGTACTACCCCCCCCCCCCTTCCCAGGAAATCTTGACCTGCACGGAATAGGCACAAATACCGTCTTAAGAGGGGGCACTCTCTAGCACTTCCTTAAGTGGAGACCCTTCCGCCAGCAGTCGCACGAGCACAAGCAAATTGTAGGGCTGCACCTTTACCTGTTTTGTTTGTATGGCGTGAGTGTGCAGCGAGAGGAGGTTACCGTGATGAGCTGTGCGTTGAGCTCCGCGGGAAGCGTGTGCTGCTTGGGCTGCGCTGCGAACAGCGCGTGCAACGCCTGCATGCCGCGTGCAGTCACCAGCTGCTCACGGCGTGCACAACACACGGCAACAAATGTACAGACACACGCAAGTAGACGCTTACACTCGTACAAAGACATATATCCCCCTAGATTTCAAGCTTTCGTGACTGCTGGGATCCATACTCTTTGGTTCTATTGGGTAAATTATATGCCAATTCCTTTGTCAAGGCGCGTGGTCTTTTTCTTCTCACACAGCTTAAAGGTCGTGATCTAAGCGTGGCTTCTTCCACTCCAGCGCTAATTCCTTTGTCAAGGGGTACCTCTGCGGATGTGTATACTTTAACTTAGCTATTTCAATTAGCCATTTCAATGCTAAATTATATGCTAATTCCTTTGTCAAGGCGCGTGGTCTTTTTCTTCTCACACAGCTTAAAGGTCGTGATCTAAGCGTGGCTTCTTCCACTCCAGCGCTGTCCTCCAGACAGTCTCGTCCCTTCACCTGATGAAGGCCGCTTGTGTTGTGGCCGAAACGTCGTGATTTTTTTGTTATTTTATTTTCACCTACGTGACTTTACCCAATAGAACCAAAGAGTACATATATCCCCCCTTATAGCCTTAGCAGACTGTTGGGACAAGTGTAGTTCAAGGGCACGTCTGAAGGCAAGCGCAGAACATGAGGGGGAGTTTTGTCGCCTGCACCACTCCCATATGCCTTTGTATCCCCAGTGCTGATGTTTATACACCACACCAGGAACTCACTTATGGTTAAGTCGACCTAGGGGAAGCCCAGGACCAGTTCAAAGTCACCACTTTTATTGGTCAAAAGCAGGACTTGAACTCGGGGCGCCAGGTTCACAACGCAGTACACGCTAACCACTTTGCCACGGCTCCCCACAATGTGCATACAGACACAGATCCCCCGTATAGCCTTAACAGACTATTGGGGCAAGTGCTGTTAGCGAGTTGCTAACAGCATGGCACACGAGGGGGTGGGTGGCCAGCAGCACGCCCGGCCGCCTCCGTCTCCCTAGTCGCGATTTTTACACACCGCACCAGGTATTCATTTGAGGCTGAGTCGACATAGGGGAGGCCTAGAACCGGCTCAGATAATCGTCACCAGTGTTGGCCATGAGCAGGAATCGAACTCGGGTTGCCAGGGTTCGTAGCGCAGCGCGCTAACCGCTACACTACCGCTCCCTCAACCCACACAGGCACACGCAGATTATTATATACCATTGTGATGTTCATGGAAACCCTTCATAATTCATCCAATAGCGACTATACATTCCGTGGGCAGAGCAAATACATTCAAAAGTTCAAACGTATTTGGAAAGCGTTCATGAAAAAAAAGAACAATGCGGGCTGAGCCCACTTGCCCCGGTTCATGAACTGGGCCGGCTCACTTCCCAGTGGCCGTGGGACCAGAGCGGTGGGCGGGGGGCGGTAACGGCAGCGTCGCCAAGCGTCCCACTCACCACGTGGCCCAACGCGAGCATGCGCAGCACGCTCTCGCAGCACGCCTTGAGGCTCTGCGTGGGCAGGCAGGGCACCACCTCCTTCAGCAGGCCTAGCACGTGAAGCGTGGCTGTCGCGTCGCCCGTCCCTAGCAGGGGTGTAGGCACAAAAGAGGCAGCGTTCATTTAAAGGTCAATGACTGCAAACGAGTGGATGAAGATTGTTAAAAAGACGATTGATGACGACAACCCCACCCCCCCCACCCTATTGCGATGATATGTACGAGTTGGAATGAAGATGCAGACTAAACTAATTTAGTTAAGCTATTAACAGTGATCGGTTTCTCATTCGATATTTTTTGGAACGCTGCTAAGCTGGCTTTGGATTGAGATTATAATCATCATGAGGCACTACCACTCGATGTAAAAGGTCCACCCTATCCATAATAAACCGATTTTATTGTATCCTATATATTCATATCATCTCGTGATTCTTCAGTATCTTTAAGACAATCAATACAAGGCTAGATGGGGATTGTGGTGCTAAACTAATCCACCGAACAGCATTCCAGACTGTTCTGGCTGATATTATGCCGTAGTCATTAGATAGCAGTGCACCGAGGAAGACAAAAACACAGGAGGCGACACTCGTCCACACACCGCCGTTCTCCTCGATCTCGCGCACGCAGAACTTGGCGGTGCTTGGAGCGGCTGGGTGGTGGGGAGGAGCTTCATCTGCGAACATGAACTCCGAGCCCCTGATCACAGCGCTCACAGCCTGCTGGCCAGCCCGCCGCACCTGTGCAAGAGAAGAGGTTACCGTGATGAGAGAAAGTACGCACCCCATAAGCACACATGTATACACCCACGTACAGACGGCGATACCCGGACACATAAACAGTCACACACATACACACATTCACCTTGGGCTTGGTGTGCGTCGCGAAGCTGAGTAGGGCGTGGAACGTGTTCATAGTGGAGGCATCGGCCCAGACGGAGAGGTCCTGCTTCCTTAGCAGCACGGCCGTGCATGACAAAATCTAAGCAAATAAAGAAAATAAATATTATTATTCACAGAGGTGGAGTGGTCCGTAATAGAGGTTTTCTTGGGTTAGATCGCGAAAATATATAAATGTGTCGTTAAAACCCACCACAGCCAACTAGTAAGGGTTGTCAAGTAAACAGAAAATGCCAGTTTGTCACTAGTACAGCACACCGGTGTGTTGGAGAGCCAAGCCACAACATTTACAATCTGAGTACGCCGTTTCGCCAGTAATTACAACCAGCTTCATCAGGCGACAGCCAGATTTGAGAAGTCCACCTGTTTCGTTCCTTATATGGAGGCGCTCTTGCGGAAAGTGGGGGGGGGGATTACGGAGGCCACGTACATTACGCATGTGTATTACGCGCACCCTTTGATCTTGTCCTTCCCGTCTATTGTGTGTATTAAAATAGCCGTACCAACGGTAATCCCTATTGAAGTAAAGGGCTCACAATACACATGCATAATATACGTTGACTCTGTGATCCACCCCCCACTTTGTGCAAGAGCGCAGAGGCGTGGTTACCTCATCTACGCCTCTATATAAGGAAGGAAACAGTTAAGACCACTCCACAAATCTGGCTGTCGCCTGATGAAGCTAGTTGTAATTACTGGCGAAACGTCGTACTCAGACTGTAAATGTTGTGGCTTGGCTCTCCAACACACAACCGGTGTGCTGTACTAGTGACGAATTGGCACGTTCTGTTTACGTGACAACCCTTACTAGTTGGCTGTGTCGGGTGGTGGCGGGTTTTCACGACACATTTATATATTTACACGATCTAACACAAAAAAGACTATTATGGATGATATTGGTCGCGAAAGCCTACGTGTTGAAGGTGGAGTGGTGATGCATTGATTAGTGCACCGTGCTATGAACCCGGCAACCTGGGTTTGATTTCCGAACATCAGTGGCGAGTGGAAAGTGAACGTGTCCTAGTGCCCACTTTCACCAACCCGCATCGACCAGTGGGAAAATTGCGCTCAAATAACTCGCACGAACCACAGCGTTGGGCGGAGGCCCTCATCCAACTGAGCAGTGACTATAAAAAAGGTCTGCACATGTACATGACGTAGTGAAGGCCCACGCTAGATATTTGAGGACCGAGCACTGGAGAGAACGCAGGCGGATGGGACTCACCCAGCGGAGCACAGTGCTGGTTGCCGAGTTGGTGTGAGTCGACATGAGGTCGACAAACACCTTGGAGATGTCGGAGAACTTCTTCTTCAGCACCGAGGAAGGGACTCTGCACACACAAACACGCATGGGCAAAGGAGCGATACGTGAAGCTCGACGCTCAATATGAGGTCACGTCGTGAGGTGGTCGGACTATTGCTCAGGGGGGAGCCGATGCTGTGTTGGCACACTACGCCAACACAGCTCCGAGGCTTGAACCGAGTTTCATCTACACCGTGATGAAAATGGGTTAACTTTACAACCTAGGTTTTCGCAGCAACTCGTAATTCAGGGACGTGGAGTAGCATTTAATGTGTAAGCATTGCACGATGTTGCTGCTGCTGCTACTCTCAAAAGCAGCATCGTTAATCAGCCACTTGGCCGGGTCACTCGAGTGCGAGTAGTGGGTTCTCCGTGTCGGCTGCATAGCTCACCTCTTGATGACCATGTTGAGGAGATAAGCGACAGCTGCCAAGGATTCTTCGCTCTCGATCGTCTCCAGAGCGGTCATCTGGCAACAGAGAAGCATTTCAGAGAAATAGCTGAAGAGAAGTCTTGCCCGGGATGTGGTCCGGTGCCTCAAGTGCCGTTAATTGCTATGTATGGGATATTAGATTTTGAATCTTGGCATCTGCCTGTGAACGGAGTTCTTAAGTGTAGACAGTAGATGGTCTCTGCCCAGTTCAGAATCTTGACTTCCACATACAGGAATCCGATGAGCTATAAAGCTCTTTTTCACAGATGTCAAGAAGGGGTGGGTCAGAAAGTTACAACAAACAATACAAAAACACGAGAGGAGTCAACGACTGTACAAAAAATGTAAATGTTAATATGATTTTTTCAATTCAGGTGAATTATCCCAACATTAATCAGACCATGAAAGCAGTGAAGTAGCTTTCAGGTGTGTAGGGGGTGCAAATGCACTGGGCCTCAAGGGCTGGATGGGCTCAAGAGTTGTGTTAGACAGACAGGGCAGAAATTCGAAAGGAGACCCCATTTAATCCCTTGCAAACAAGCCAATGCCAGCCATTATTGGTCAATGGATGAAAGCACACCCTTCATGAACATTTTTTGTTAATTGTCATGGAGTAAAATATGATTTTAAAAGATCTGTAATGAATATGGAACTTCACAGTCACAGATTTAACTGCCACCTACACAGTGTTTTATATCTTGCCAAGGCGAAGTACTCACAAATGCCGCAAAGTACTCTGTCTCGGTCTCGGTGCCTCCCTTTGAGCGAATCACTTCCGTAACGGCAGCCAACACAGCACAGATCTGGTGGAAAGAGAAACAAGCAGTGGATTAATCATTGGCTGATAATGATGAAAACCCAGTACTTGTATCACAAGCGTCGCCTCACTACTGGATGAAGGGCTCCTCATGCCGTTAACATCCTGCAATGCCACACTCCCATTTTGCTCATGCGGCACATTCTCTGTTCTCCTTTAGAGTCCATTCTGTAAGACATCACCTCTATTCTTGTTCATTCGTGCAGGGTAAATTCCAAAAGCTTCGCTTTCGCTGACACACTATTTGTTTCAACACCTTATACATCCAAATAATATATTAATGTGTGTGGTCCACATTCACGCAGCACACTATCATACAGCCGCGACAAGGGCACCTCCTTGTGCGCTGCCGAGCTGGACTGCCAGTAGCGTTGCACGCGGCCAAACGTGGCGTTGGTGATGTCGGAGAGGCCGCTCAGGAAGGTTCCAGCCGTCCGCTCGCTGGCGGCATCCTGGGCCGGCCCCACTGTCGGCGTCCGCTCGCTCGCCGGTCCAGCAGACGTCGTGGGGTCGCTCTGAATGTCATCGTGCAAGCGCAGCGAAGCCACGGTGAGGTCGCTCTTGCCTGCGGGTGCACACACCAGCCGAGAGGAACAACAAATATTTAGCTTCACACACTCTAGGGGTAAGTGCCGTTAGGAAGCAAATACTAATGCTGATTAGGAGGTGGCCGGGCACACTGAGATCTTTAGTTCGAGTCGAGGCAGACGCCCATGCTTAAACCGAGTTCTCAAGCGTTGCGAGTTGATGAGATCAGCTCGGTCACCAACTACTGCACAAAAAACCCACGAAACTCAATTTGTGCTCAGCACTTAATTTGGCTATATTCGAGCACGTGGTTAAAACTATTGGCTCGACTCCCATGTGACGAACATTACTCTCGATGGGAAGTGCTGCCGCCTTCCGATTGAACGAGAGTTCACGTGTAGGTCTTGTCTCAAGAAGTAGCTTTGCGATATCAACTTCTGTGGGCTGTTCTAACACGAAGGGGTTCAACTGCTCAGCGATCGTTTTAAGTAATTACTTTTGATTATGAAATTACGCAGATAACACAAAAAACGATAACAGTACGAGACGAAAATGGTTATTTTCCTGATACTGTACAAATCATGTCCAAGAATCGCTGGGGGGATGTGAATCATTACAAACTTTACTTATCATTTGGTCACATTTTGCATATAACCACACAATCACAAACATTACTCCTTTAATACCAGTTGCAAAATAGTCTATTGTTTGAACGGTTTTGTATAAAACCAAAGGAAATATATGTATGTTTAACTTCTTTCGCGCGGTACTTAGCCAAACGTGCTAATCGGATGTGCGGTGAAAGAACGAAGTAAACACAAAAAGCAGTTCCAAATTAATGCTTTTTCAATATTTCAGAGTACTTTGATCGCATCTCAAACATAGCGTTCCACTCATCTAGTCGAGACCCCGTGGCAATTGTTTATGCGGCACAAGATCTACATCAATGTGTTCACACATGTGGCCCTTTGCCAATCCACTGTTGGATGAAGCCATCCCAACGCCGCCATATCCATCGTGGGGGGTAGTTTGAGCCATACACCATCATCACCACGCTTCTCATTGCAGGGTTAAGGTGCCCAGGCCCGGTTCAGGCGATCTCTTTCCACTGCGACCTGCGGCCAGGAACCGCATTCACGTAGCCGGATTTAGCGACACCGTGCGCGAACTTATACAATGGCTAACGAAAATGTAGAAACTTCACAGTACAGATTGGTTCACATATCAGCACTTAAGTTGGGCTTCATAAACAGCATGTACTACACAAGTATTTACAGAATTAAATAATTTACGTTTTTTAACGTTAGCGGTAAAACAAAACAAATATTTAGACTATTTACAAATCCAACTCGTGTTCCAACAAGAGCCAGATCACGTGTATCAAAAATTTAGCCGCTGAGGCCTACTCAGATCATACAAATCTTACGCCTTTCCTTGCGAATTGCAACGAAAGTCGGGCGGAGCAGCCGGGCGATGCCAAGCCAAAACCCATCGGCCTCGTACCTTTGCTGCGACCGTAAAAGCGACTGCGGGCGGCATCGCGATGTCGGCTCGTGGCGGGGTTGCTACTGCTGCTCTGTCCCTTCTTCCAGCGAGGTACTTTGCTGCTCACGCCCGCCTTGAGTTTGCCGTGTCTCGCCATGGCTCCCCCACACGTGGGACTACAGGGAAATCGCGTTTGCGGCAGTAGATGTCGTAAAGGAAGATAAAAAAAAGTAGGCGTGGTCTAGACGATGGTTTGCTTTACGGCAGTCGTGAAGCTTTGCGGCACCACTCTGCCCTAATATTTTTTTAAAATACAGAATCCGAATATTATTGGTTCTTGCGGTAAAGTCACGTAGAAGGGAAACAATAAAATAAATAATAATTGCTTTATTTTATTATTATTAATCATTGCTTTATTTTATTATTTTATTGTTTCCCTTCTACGTGACTTTACCGAAAGAACCAATAATATGAATCCCTGCAGTCACGAAAGCTTTAAATCAAAACAGAATCAGAGTGTTTATATTGCAGGAAGAATCCGATGAGCTATAAAGCTCCTTTTTCACAATGTCACATTGTCGCCATGTGGGTCAGGTCGATTGGACCAACCGGTTAACCCCCGTGAGAGCGCAAGAGACCACAAGATTGTCGTTTAATTTGCAAGGATTAACTATTATTCGATTAATTTGTTGATTATTTTTTTGCGTTTGTGGTTTGTGTCGAATATTTCAGAGTTGTGGATCTATGGTTCTTTCGGTAAAGTCACGTAGAAGGGAAACAATAAAATAATAAAAATATAAAAATAATATTTGATTATTTGAATATTTTAGTATTTAAATATTTTATTATTTAAAATAATAAAATATTGTTTTATATTTTTATTTTGAAGTCACGAAAGCTTTAATCAAAATACATTTGTAAAGTTTAAGTACACATCGCTTACTCAGGGGCCGTCCATAAATGACGTCACGCACCTAGGGGGGGGGGGGGGTCAGACATTTGTGACGATGTGTGACGAGGGGGGGGGTTGAGAAATGTGACGTCACATCAAAATGCGCAACTTTAAATAAATATTGAATTTTGATTTAAAGCTTTCGTGACTGCAGTAATTCATATTCTTAGTTCTTTCGGTAAAGTCACGTTGAAGGGAAACAAAAAAATAATAAAATATATATAACAATAAAAATTCTCACGACGTTTCGACCATAACACAAACGGTCACACCTGATGACGACCGTTTGTGTTATGGTCGAAACGTCGTGAGAATTTATATTTTTTATATATATTATTTTATTGTTTCCCTTCAACGTGACTTTACCGAAAGAACTAAGAATATAAATATTGAATTGTTATAACAACACTAATTGTTATAACAACACTCCTACAACATCAGAGTGCAGCCCCACATTAAATACGCACTACAATGACGATATTTTAAAGCGATTTGAAGCGTCTTTTATTTTCAAAATGGAAATATCGTTTTGGGGTGGGGGGCAGAGCTTTGTGACGTCATATTTGAGGGGGGTCTGACTTTTTGTTACGCCGTGTGACGAGGCGGGGGGGTCATAAATCGTCCAAAATCGCGTGACGTCATTTATAGACGGCCCCCTAAACCACGCAATTCCATCGATTGTCTAGAGCAGGGGTGTCCAAACTTTTTTTCCCGAGTGCCACATAGAGGAAAATATACGAAGGACTGGGCCACTCACTAGACGTGAGGTATACTGCCTCACTTCTCATGCACTAATATTGGCAAAATCAATCAAATGCAGGTAAATTACGTTTAATAATTGAACATGTTTGAAGAAAAAAAGCCTCCATCATAGCTCTCCATTAGTAGATTTTCATTTTATTTTTTACAAAAAGGTTGGCAGGTCATTCTCTCAGTGACAGCCTCAGATTGGTTCTTAGAGGCTGATCCCCCTTCATTGTCCTGTATGAAGGGAGGGACAAGAATAGAAATAGGGAATGTGGATATTTCAAGCTTATTACACAAATAAATTATTGGGCTTGTTAACACATAAACTAACGTTTGTTAAAAAATTGTCATCAACTTTAATTGACTGAATTTATTAAGTAATTGTGCTTATTAACAAATGAAAACGGTGTGTATATTTTTAACTCACCTGTAATGGGAAGAATGTTGCGCTCAGTGGGAGCAGTGATGCTGCGCTTTGGTCTGAAGGATAGCTGGCAGGTCAGGAGTAAGTTTGGTGGTTGAGATGCGAAGGACGTCACGGAGATGGCTGTCGGTCGTTCTGGTTCTCAGCCTGCTTTTGTTCAGCGTTAACAGAGAGAATGTCTGCTCACGGATGTATGTTGAGCCGAACAGACTCATAATTCGTTTTGCGTGGCGTCTCATCAGAGGAAACTTGGCCTTTTCCAAGCTCCGGTAGAAGTCAGGTAGGGAGAGAAGCTGATGCTGAGTCTTCAGAGAATCATCACACTGAATTTCGATCAGTTCTAATTGCAGACTCTCCTCCACTTCTTTTGCATCCATTGAAAACGGACCCGCAAATAGTGTGATTTCCTTCTCAATGACAGAAAAATCTTGGAAGCGCTGACTGAATTCTGTCATGAGAGATGTGATCACAGACACATATTCTCCCATTTTTGCAGACAGCTTGGCATTTTGAAATGTGCATTTGATTTTGGTCAGCGTGGGGAAGTGCGCTTCATTGAAGTTGCACAGTTGTGACTCGAAGAGACGGAACTTCGCACGGAATGCTTTCATGTGCGCATACAGCTGTGATACCAGCTGCTCTTTGCCTTGTAGTCTCTTGTTCAGGGTGTTGAGATGTTCAGTGAGATCAACTAAAAAAGCCAGGTCTGCCAACCATAAAGGGTCACTGATCTCATGGAGAGGTCTGCCCTTTTCTTTGAAAAACTTGTCGATATTTAATCTAAGGGAATAAAACCGCTGCAGCACGGAGCCGCGACTGAGCCAGCGCACTTCAGAATGGTAGAGTAGGTCCCCATATGCAGCATCGACATCAGAGAGGAACGCTGAGAAATTATCTGTGGTAAAGCCCTCGTGCCCGAATTATGTTGACAGTTTTCACAACTGTGTTCATCACATCGTCAAGCTGGATTATCTTGGCACAGAGGGCTTCTTGGTGGATGATACGGTGCATTTTGACAGCCTCACCTCCGCTCTCCCGCACCTTGGCACTCACCATAGAGACCATTCCTTTGCGCTCGCCTGTCATTGCTGGAGCCCCATCCGTTGTAATTCCATACAGCTTGTCCCATTTAAGTCCAGCCTGGTCAATTGCATCTGACACAGCTTCAAACATGTCCTTCCCAATAATAAAGTATTAAAGCTTTCGTGACTGCATAAAATTACTCATTGGTTTTTTCGGTAAAGTAACGTATGTAGAAATACAATACAATTATATTAAAACAAAAAACAATCACGACGTTTCAATCACAACGCAAGCGATCTTCATCAGGTGTCAAGAACAAATCACGGAGGTAAATACAACAAAAAGATGAGAGACGAGAATTCAACAAACCTGAAAAAACATTATGTGAAGCACATCCAGTCAGGCCAACAACACAGTTAGACACTTCCTGGCGGACCACGAATTTCAGAAGAGTGTTAAATTTCGTGTTCAACTTTTGGATTGCACACACCAGCATAGATAGAATGAAAAATACGAGGTACACGGTCAGTAGAAATACATATACAAGTCCACCAAGAGGTAAGGAGGCAGAGAGAGGGGGGGGGGATGAACAGAAGCTTAAATAGGAAATACGGTTGGAGGGGGGGGAGGGGCCAGAGCGAGAGCGGCTGCTCAAACACGCACATCTTACACATACAAAACGGCAGCTCAAAAAAGGACCACCTCTTGTAAATACAAAACGGCAGCTCAAAAAATGACCACCTCTTGTAAATACAAAACGGCAGCTCAAAAAAGGGCACATCTTACACATAATTACAACGGTAACTTACATACGTGACTTTACCGAAAAAACCAATGAGTAATTTTATGCAGTCACGAAAGCTTTAATACTTTATTATCACACTTCTACGGGGAAGTTACCGTTGCAATTATGTGTAAGATGTGCCCTTTTTTGAGCTGCCGTTTTGTATTTACAAGAGGTGGTCCTTTTTTGAGCTGCCGTTTTGTATGTGTAAGATGTGCGTGTTTGAGCTGCCGTTCTCGCTCTGGCCCCTCCCCCCCTCCAACCGTATTTCCTATTTAAGCTTCTGTTCATCCCCCCCCTCTCTCTCTGCCTCCCTGTCCGTCTTTCCTCCCTCCTTACCTCTTGGTGGACTTGTATATGTATTTCTATTGACCGTGTACCTCATATTTTTCATTCTATCTATGCTGGTATGTGCAATCCAAAGGTTAAACACGAAATTTAACACTCCTCTGAAATTCGTGGTCCGCCAGGAAGTGTCTAACTGTGTTGTTGGTCTGACTGGATGTGCTTCACATAATGTTTTTTCAGGTTTGTTGAATTCTCGTCTCTCATCTTTTTGTTGTATTTACCTCCGTGATTTGTTCTTGACACCTGATGAAGATCGTTTGCGTTGTGATCGAAACGTCGTGATTGTTTTTTGTTTTAATATAATTTTATTGTATTTCTACATACGTGACTTTACCGAAAAAACACAATGAGTAATGTCCTTCCCAGTTGTTGTCCCCTTTAGACTCTGAAGATTGAGCAGTTCCTCCATAATGCAAAAAATTCTCATCAACTTCCCGCAAACAAATTTACAGCTGTGCAGTGTTCGTGGCTTCTGTGCTCTCATCACATGCAATCGAGTAAAAATCGAAAGCACAAGCTTTATCTGACACTTGCTGTTTCAAGTGAGCCGACAAGTCTTCAATTCGCCGCACAACCGTATTTCTGGACATACTAACATCGTTAAAATCCTGCATTTTCTCCGGGCACATTATTCCCACGACTTTAGTGAGGCACTGTTTGATGAAGTCACCGTCTGAGAAAGGTTTCCCGTGTAGGGGCAATGAGTCGAGCTACTTCATAACTGGTGAAGCCTGCTGCTGCGTTAGCAGGCTAGCTGCCATTTGCTTTACCTTCTCTCTCCGCTCGGCGCCAGTGTAGGACGTGAAGGTCTGATGTTTTGTTTCATAATGCCGTCGTACATTGTACTCTTTCATCACGGCAACACTCTCATTACAAATCAAAAAAACACACTTCCCCTTGGTTTCTATGAAAAAATATCCATTTTTCCACCGAGCCTGAAATTTTCTGCACTCACTTGCAATCTTGCGTCTCTTCGGTTACGGAATTTCTGGTGACCCTGAGCAAATTTTTTCTTCGATTGCTTGCTTTGTGGAGACGCTGCCTTGTTCAAGACAATAGCGCCACCTAGTTTTTTAAACTAAGAAGAGCAATACAGTGGGCCATAATCCATTACATTTTTAGACTTTAATACGGGCCAATTAAAAATGGATGGCGGGCCGCAGTTGGCCCGCGGACCGTAGTTTGGACACCCCTGGTCTAGAGTCTAAACTGTAGACTCTGGGCAAATATAATCTTACAAGCTTGTTTGCTCGTCCTAGGACGGAAGCTGTAATATTTACGAAAAAATTTAGCAGAGTTACATTGTATCTCGTCTAAATTTAATGGCAGTGAATCTTGCACAAAAAACTATGTCATAAAACATCTCACTTCATCTTGGAAAATCACCGAGAAATGTCTATTTTAACATAATGTAGAAGCATATATTAGACTTACCTTTTGTCTCAAGTGCTGAAGAAATAAATAAACACACCAAACTCATACTCTTTGGTTCTTTCGGTAAAGTCACGTAGGTATAAAATGAATTAAATCACGACGTTTCGGGTGCAACACAAGCGTCCGTCATCAGGTAGGGCAACCACAGCAAGAAACAATTGCTGAATTGGGCAACAGAGGTGCTTGTATCAAGAGGCTATATAGGTAAGAGAGGGGGAGGGTGGGGGTGCGGGGTAGGGGGAATGGGGGGCTGCAAGCACGAGAACGCCGGGGCTGGGAAGTAAGAGGGGCTGGGAGTAGGAGGCTGCAGAAAACTGGAGATGCGGATATGAAGGCAAACTATAAAGCAGTTAAGGTTCTACCTGGTTAATAACATCCTTCCAATGATTGCTCAATTTGTATCCATCTTCTCGGTTGAAGTTACGTCTATGTTTATATATCTGGATGGCTTCATGAACAAACCTTTGATAGCAGCCCGAAGGTTTGCAGAGCACCTTGGTCTCGGAAAAAAACAATATCATGGGAGCCCCCAGCGTTATAGCAATGGTCAGCCACAGCAGAGGTATTAGTCCTGCCGTGTTTCAGATCTGCCTTGTGCTCGCGAGCACGGTCCGAGACATGTCGTTTCGTTTCCCCAATGTAACAGCCACCACAGGAGCAACTTAGCTTGTAGACTCCAGGATATTGCATGTCAGGAATGACATCCTTCACAGATGGGATTAGATCACGGATTTTGTGTACTGTACTGAATCGGACCTGGATCTTGTGTTTGTTTAAGATTTGGGAAATCTTTTTTGGTAACGCCTGCTTTGTATGGTGACGTGATGGTTTTGTTCGGCGTATCAGGGGGTTGTTTCTCCATGGTTGAAGAAACAGCTTTGCGGATAATGTGGTCCGCATTATCCGCCGTGCCCTTTGTGTGTTCGCAGGTGCGACCGCTACTCAGTTCATTCTTGGGTACAAGTCCACTGGACACGGTGATGGTGTTACCGGTTTGTGACTTTCGGAACCGGTAAATTATTCTTACCGGGTTGTCATTGAACAAGCCTCGTATATTCTACACACCCCGGTAGCCGAGTCACAGCACACCTGCTTTCTGTGTATATACATTGTGTATACCCTTCATAGGAATCTCCCTTGGTGCAATGGTTAACATAATGGACCTGCAATCCAGAGGTCATCGGTTCTATTCCCCGGCGCGCTCGTTGGAAACAATGGTTACGTTTCTTAACCCCCCCCCATCACCCTGTCAACTTAGGAGCATAAATGGGCACATCACAGTCAATCGGCATGTTGCAAATGGTGTGGGGTAAAGTGTGGGTACTCTCACCTCTTCCACAATGTCTGGTCATAGTGGAAGAGTTAGCCATAAATACCCTCTAGTGGAGGCCCTTGTTGTCACAAGGGCAGTGGCATGAACAAAGGCTACACCTTTACCTTTTAACGGACATGCCTCATGATGATATGACAAACATTGCACACAAATATGCTCCACATTATCATCAACTCCCACTGATCGACATGGCGATGTATGGTTTAATAACCCCTACAACCAAAACGCTGTGGGGAGGTGGGGGTCTGATCCACTTGTGGAATGAGGAAAAGTAAGTTCAGTAGTTTAGGTGAACATATTCATATTATCTTCTGTTACCTCCGATTTTACCCATAGTACGTAGCGAAGCAGCTTCCTAATAGTCGCAATTTTTCTGCAGAAAACATGAATCGTGATTGAGTAAAATCGCAGATAACCCCACTGATAATTTGTCTATACAAGTCACCGTGTCTCCCTGTCGATATGAACATCGGGCAGTGCTCATCTCTTTTGGCATCCCTGGACCTGTGGGTAGAAATTCCACATTACTCTAACGGGGTTGGGATATGGGGTGGAGCAGTGCTTCACTGGTTAGTGCACTGCACTTTGTGAACCTCGCGACCCGAGTTCAATTCTTGTCCACGGTTAACATCAGTGATGAGTGATATTTCAACATGTCCATGGCTTCCCCTCTACCTTCACCAACCCGCACTGACCAGAGTAGTCAAGTATTACCAAACAGCCCCCATGACTGATAGAGTGTGGGCAGGGCCTTCAACCAGCAGTGGATCGACAAGTGGTGTAAATTATTACTGGGATCACTCCCTTCAAATAATGACTGCTGTTGACTTTCCACAGGATGACGGAAGACCCATGTGACTCGTGCATAGGAAACATTTGCAGACACACCTGTGTTGGGGATGTGGTTCATTTCAAATGTTTATTTTGTCATTTATTTTTATGGGATAACATAGCAGTACCACACGCAATATAGTTTTTTTTTTTAACACGGAAAGTCTAGTTGTCTCATAAAACTGTGAGCGGTGTGCATGGCAAACGCATTTTTATGACGCAATAACCATATGGGTATAAAACAACGACAAGAACTAAAACATTTGAGAATTTCTTCATGACGTCTTAAAGGCTGTGCTTCAAATCCCCATGTCAAATGAATAGTCCTACAAGCCATTTATTGGTTAGTAAAGCATTTGTGCAGTGATTCAGGCACTTTTAACCCGACACAGTAATCTCCAAAATTATTAAAATCCTCTCGTCTGTACATCCCGTCAAACAACCTTACATTTATACCGTCCACATTGAGATTCTCAAATCTCCGTCTACGCCTTTCACAGACCCACTTCTCGTACTTCAAAAGCACCTTCTTAAAAACCCCCCTCTTAATGTTTGCAAAACACCGTCTCGAGAACTGCAATTGTTAGTCCACTCATAATCATGGGAAGGAAATAACCGCAAAGGGGTGACGCTCTGCGCGAACCCTGTGCGTGCGTATGCACAATGTCCGGTGCGTATGGCCACCATCGTTGCAGTTCTTCTGTTTTAGCTTCCCCACATTTTATACCCAATCACAGGGACTGCTTTTAGTTATCAGCTTCACAGGCTATACGGGGTAATGTGCCGCAGGTGACTCCATCGAGTGCATCACGATTGGAAGGTTGCGAGTTTTAATCTCAGTCGAGTAACGCCTCAACCTTTACAGAGTTAATATCAGTACCATTGTGTAAAAGCTAAGAATACAGTTCTGGAATTCAACAAATGAGCCAGGAATCACTCGTGGAGTCTCAAGGCTTTCTTTTTTGAGAGTCTTACATTGGGACTTACTGTATGGCCAATTCCATTGCTGTATGTGGGTTTTTTTACATATGGGACACTGCGGAACCTTAAGAATTGCCATCCTGCCATTTCACCACCTTGCCGACCAAGTCTATAAAACTAAACTTTGTATTATTTTACCAGGAAAGACCCACTGAGCTATATAGTTCGTTTTCAGAAGCGACCTGGCCACAAATAATGGCTCAACGAAGTGGCTTATCACGTGTAAATGTATAGCAGTAGAATAGTCTAAACGTGCAATGTTTCTTAATATGGAGGGAAAAACTGGAGGACTCGGAGAAAAATCCACGTGACAACGGTGAGAACATACAAACTCAAAATATACAGGCGTCAGGATCGGGTTCGGGTTCGAGCCCACGACCTCCTGTTTACCAGGCCCAATGCAGTTAACATCTCGCCACCGTGAACACTGGACAGTCTTTGGAGAGACTGCTCACAGTCATGGGAATGTGAAATATACTTCACGGACTCAGGCTTGCTAGCACTCGCCATTACACGTTTGAGCATGGAAAACTTTCAATTTTGTAAAGGATGTCAGCTTGCATTATAGCATTATTTATGTTATGCACAATGATAGAAATACTGTAGTGTAATACTTTTTTCAAGTTGTAGCTCTCCTTGCAAATTTATCTGATACTGCTAGGAACATAACACATTCCCTTAAGCTAATTTGACTTCAGCACATTTCCCATTACCTTCTCGTATAATCATCACAAACATCAACAAAAAGTTAAACGCCAAATATGTATGTTGCCAACCGTGCTAACCGGTTATTTAATTGGCTTTTGCTGGGAAAAAAATGCTCCTAACGGCAGGCCAAAGCTTGTATTCAAAGACTCATAATTTGTTATGGCGTTAGTCCCTGAGAGACCACACTGAGGGTCTAGATTTAACAAGTGCATCATTACTCACGTTATAAACACTCCAGCACAAAACACCGTTGCGAAACCCTTTTAAACCTATTACTATACCTTTTAAACCTTGGCTGAAAATACTTTTACCACTCACATCATGGGTACTGAATTCTGATGGCAAAGAAAACAAACTGCTAGATATTCCAAGGAAGAATGCGTCGATTCGTATGATAAAAATTCACCTTTGGCACGTGTGCCAAATTATCCAAGTTGTGCATGTGAGAATCGATTATTTTAAACGTCTATAAAGTTTGTTTGATCCATATACGCGTGGGCTGCACCAATGATAATGCAGCTGCAGGAGTTGATTGAACTGCTAAATGGGGATGAAGCTGAAAACAAAGTACACGTGCATGCAAGATTGAAGAAAAAAAGACTTGGAATTAACCGTTATAGTGACACAACGAGAGAAAATAACACAATACAATACCACCCCATGGGACTTTTAACCAATTCGATTTTGGTGAATTGTAAGGACACAATGAAACAATAATATTGTGTTATGGTAACGCAATAATAACACAATTATAACATTATTCATCACAATGACGCGGCTAGTTGCATACCAAGTTACACCTTATCCACTGTACGATTCATAAACGGGGCTCATGTCACACGCCAAGCTATTGGAAATGCTAGTGGATAAGCACAATGAGGACTTATAATTAAAATTTGTAGAATTATTGGGTCAAAAGGTTTTGTTCATGAATATATCTCTCCGTGTACAAAAACTAAACGTCACAAGCTTTTACGCGACCCGTCATTCATTGAGATTGGTGGAGCTAAGGTTATTTCTCTAGACAAAAACACATACAAATGTACACGTGTTCGCCAATGTTTTGAGAAATATATCATTTAAACTTGATTCTAATCGACTATTTTATTAAAACGGGTCGCACCAAATCGGTACATTTTCCTGTGCGGAAAAGTGGTTCGTCATTTTTTAATAACACAGCTGGGGAGTCCTCTGAGCCTGTGCTAATACACCGCTGCACGAGGACTCCCTTAGATTTCACTCCAACCTATCTATTATCTATCACAACACTTACACCTTGTCTTCCACCATGCCCGCTTTATGGTCAAGGGTATAGACATGACTGAAATACATGACAATATTGCATCACAACCAATACCATGGGTGCCACATACCACCGTCACTTCTGCCCAAACTGGCAGCAGTTGCAGAATCGACAGCTCCCCCCTCAAGGTCTTTCTCCGTGAAGATTTGGGGTTGGGAACTGATTCAATAACTACTTTTTTTAAATCGAATTTTCAGTCTCATTTGTATTTTTTGTTTTTTCTCCCTCTCGTTTGTACAGCTGTTTGCTTACCGGCTTAAATCAAACATGAACACGTCATTTGTAAATACTTTGCATAATCATAAATAATCGATTGATACATAGGATTTGATACATACATTTTCAAGCATAAATATTTTCATACAATTGACGTGTCGTTAAATACTCAATATAATGGTCAAGAGGTTTATAATCTCAGCTTTTCGCTTTTTAACATAAATTCCCTGTTAATTTGAGATGTGTTTTGACCTTGACGCAACAAAACTGCTCTTGGATTACTTGGTAAGACACCCATTTGGTTTACACAGAAAGTTCAGACCTCAGGGACCACGCACAAGTCTGTCTGCTTGTGTGCACCGATCGCTGATGGTGAATTTTGAAATGGGTGGTTGCACTTTTAAATCCAAATTGAAAACTCAATTTTTTAAAACAACTTTTGTGTTTAGTTGTACGTCCTTCCTCCGCCCTTCCGATAAGCACGGTTGGCTACGTACGGTGCGAAGAGGTTCAACATACGACCGTGCGTTTGTCCTTTCCACGTGGAGTTGACCACCCTCCCATGTGACGAGACCCTATTTAAAAATAAGATGACTTCCCTGCAAGCGTCACCAACCTCACCGAGCCACCAGTTCCTCTCGTTAACAGACTTTTATTCGGGGGCTATTTGGTGTCCAGCAGAGGGCAGTGCTGCAAAGTCCATTGTGCTGTGCGTATGTCGATACCGGGATTCCCCCATTATTTACCAACTCGCTATGCGCAATTTCGGCTATCCGCGAATCGCATCTGGAACTCGACACGACCACATAGAGAGAGAAAGAAAGTGATGAGATTTAAAGTAAGTTCATTTATGAACTATTATTTAATGCTTCAAAACGGATTTTTCTTGTCACTTGATATTTATTGTAGCCAATTTTCATTTTTTGTGTTATTATAATGTTCATGTATTTAATAGTTTTTTTTAAATGTATTTATGTAAGGTAATTCATTACATACTTTGCTAGTCACAAACATCTCCAGAACGTATCCCTCGTGAATAGCGAGGGAATGCTGTACCGTACTCATTCTCACATCTATGGTCCTCAACCTTCACAAACCCGCACTGACCAGCGAGGTCAAGTATGGTCACCCAAACCCCACGACCAGCACGGAGTGTGGAGACCTTCACCCAGTCGTGGGTTAACAAAGTGCCGTACTTGTATTGCGATTAGGAATACATAAACAGGTAGGAAAGGGTTTTATTTAATTGAAATAAATTAACATTTAATATATCAACCAACCAGCCAACCAACCCAACCAAATAAAATGTATTCCAGTAATGTTTTTAAACGAGCTGGGCTGATTTCAAATTCGGTAAGTCCGATCACCGGGGAGTGGCCTGTCCAGTTGGTGACTTTGTATTTGGGGCAAAAGGCATTTAAAAATATGGGGGGTCCAAAATGTAATTGCAACCAAGCCTAATTTCTGTTACCCACAGTTCACCAAAGCAACACATCATAGTTTTAAACCAGTTGTTCAGCTTGTGTGAAAATAACACTCGGTGATGAAAATATAATTATGCAAGCTCTGCGTATACATTTTCACATTACCACAGTCAGAAATAGGAAAATTAGTGGGAAAGTGTATATCTTATAACACCCCTCCAAAAATGGTGCATGCCAAAATTTACCTTGTGCAGCTGCAATTATGTACAAGTACATGATGCTAATGATCGAACAAACCATATTTAAAAATTGGTGTTTGACAAATATTTGTTTTATTCAGAGGCCGAAGCTCTGGCTAATTTTACGTTTCGTCTGATTCCTTTATTCGTACTACGCAGAGAGCAAGACAGTGCCTGTTATGGGATCATCATTCAGTCAAGTGGCACACGTCACATGGTGGAAACACCTGGAAGCGATGCCGCACACCTTCAAATATCATTGTCATTAACCACTAGGAGGCGCTGCTTTCATTCATGCAAGCGAGTGTGTTTCACTCTAAGTAGGCTGCAAGAGCAGAGCTCATTAAATAACTGTGCAAGTGCAAAACCAAAATTCTATGCTTTTCTATACTTTATTGTGAAGTCACAGGTCACCGTGCCGAGTCACCATATGAACTTACTCAGGCTTCAAATACCAGTCATCAAGCGACACTGGCTCATTAGACACAGCAGAGCATTAACTCCACGCACAGAAGCCATTGGGTGACCTCATTTTTAGTAACTCATAGAAAATTAAATTACCCCTGAAGGCAGTAAACGGACGCAGGTCCATGAAAGGGCTCAATTGGCAACCCCTGGCCTCCACACTTGGGCCTGTGCCCCGTTCTTCTTGGCTGAGAATGACGGTCGAGGCGTGGCCACAAGAAGTGTGGCCTGGGTGACCGGTCTTCCCAGCGACACTTGTGGGGGCTCGGCTGGGAGCGGGGGAAGCTGAGCACCAAACCCGATGGGTCCCGCAATGTCGCCCGCGTGGCCTGGGTATGGAGGTGGCTGATGTCCGCCCGGGTAGGCGGGTGCCAGACCAGTGGGGGGCGGCTGCTGCCAGGCATTGACAGCCGGGATGGAGGGCGCCCCGCTGGCTGCCGATTTGACCTCCATCTGGATGTGTGAAGTGACGCGGTGCTGGTGAGGAGGCGTTGTCAACTGAGAGTCATCCCCGGATGTGTAATTAGTTGGCGGCACAGGGCCATTGAGGAGGGATGACGCTGATACCAAGGGCTGAGGCCTAGCGCTAATTTGGGGCGACGACATCGCTTCCACAGATGTAGAAATGCCGTTCATTTGCTGCGGCAAGACTGTGGCAAACGACTTGGTTGGCTGTTGTTGTTGAGGTTGCTGCTGAGCCGGCTTCTCCACGCTCCTGACCTCCATCTGCAGCTGGGTCGTGACCATGGCTGGTGCCTGATTCTGTGCAGCCAAGTGCGACCGCGTCGCCTCGCTCGCCTGCGCCGCAGTTGGAGGTTGCGCGTTCCTCGGTAGCGACTGAGCCTGTCGACCCGGGCCGCCTGCTGGCGCCGCCGCCGGTATGGACGGCGAGAATGAAAACATGGCCGAGTTGAGCTGGTAGGGCTGATGCTTCATTACGTCCAGACTCTCCATCTTGGGCTTAGGTTTCCCCTTGGTCTTGGCCGCCGCCGGAGACTTGGGTGAGCTCTGCGTCGCATGCCCCTTGGCCGCCGCGAGTGGATAAAAGGGTGAGAGTATGGGGTTGAAGCCGATGGGGGGCGGCGCGCGAATCTGAGAAGAGTACTTCCAGGAGGATGGCAGGGATGGCGTCGGAGATGGGCCGCGCATTTCCTCCGCTGGAGACAATGTCCCATCCACGATGTACTTCTCCATGCGGCTCTGCCTCTTGGCGAAGAGCTGTGCACCCTTGCCCTTCATCTGTGACATGTCGCTGGCGAGGACAGCTGCCGCCGACTGCGCTGCCTTGTTGCGGGCGGCCACCGCGTTGTTCTCTGGCGAGTAGACGAACCGCGCGCCCTCCGCGGTTGGCTGTGCTAGTGTTGCCTTTATCTGCTGCTGCTGTGGCTGCTGCGGTAGCTCATTGCTGACAGTATCAGATGCCCGATAAGTGGGGATTGGATCGGACCTGGTGCCCGCTTGTGCCTGATGACTCCAAGAAGGTGCCTGGTTGGCCAACTGCGTGTATGCCTCGTAGCCCTGTACCTTTGCCATCGGCTTCGGCGCAACGGGTGGCGGGGACTTGAAGCCCTGCGCCTGTGCCTGCGTTTGCCAAAAGTTGGACGCCTCCGCCCCAAGGCCAAGGGAGTCCTCCTCGGGCCCCACCTCGAATTGGCCCTCCGGCTTGGTTTTGTCATCCAGGTTTTGCACGAGGGACAAGAGGTCAGGGTTGGGCGAGTTCTTTGGCGGTTCCTTGAAGGTGAACATGGCCTTGTTGCCCTGGTTGCGCTTCTTGGCCTCGGCCAGGATGCCGGACCTTGACGCGGGGATGGAAATGCGCTGCTCCCTGGACGACAACTGCTCAACTGGGGGCTCCGGTGACCAGATCGCAGAGCCACGGTCCCTGTCGGTCGACGTTGACGCCGTGTCGGTGCCGAGCCCATTGAAGATGGCGGCGGCGTCTCCACGCTGTTCCTGCTCCGTGGGCTGAGCGAACAGGGGCGGAGGGAGGATAACGCTCAACACTGGGGTCTGCTGCTGCTGCTGCTGTGGCAGCGGCGTCACGGGCGTGGGTGGCGGCGCCTGGCTGTGCTGCTGCGTGCTTGCGAACCCCGCGGGCTGCGCGTACGGGGGCGGGGGAGGCACGATGATTGTCGATCCTGCGAACGCAGATTGGGAAGTGACCGGCTGGTAAGCTGGGGGATCACCTGTGCCGAGAGAAGGATTATTTGCGAACACAGGCTGCGATACTTGTGGACTGGCGGGGGAGAAGTAGCTGTTGGAGGGGCCGCCCTCCCTCGACTGCTCGGCATCAGGGGAACTCCATGTAGATGCCGGTGCCGGATTGGCAACGGGTGATGCCTCTGCGTAAGACCCTGCTGCTGCTGCCACACGACTCCCATGTTGACCTGCGCTGACCCCGCGCTGAGGACTTTGTGCCGAGACGTAGTTTATGTTTACCGAGGGCCTCTGCATCGGTGCGACGGCTGGGGAGGCCACCGGAGTTTCCGCAGAGGTGACCGTGGCCTGAGCGCTCACTGCGGGGTGCACATTCACTTGAGCGACGCAGGGAATCTCCGGTGCCTGACCCTGCCGCTCTGGATGATTAGCCCTCAGTGGGAGTTCATTTCCAGCAACCTGGTTGAATTGTGCGGTCATCTTGGGAGCGGGCTGCGCGGCAAATGGCGTTGCTGCACGGTTCTCGATGGGACCTGCGGGCGTGAACGGACGGGCGGTGCGGTTCACGACATTGGCCACCTGCTTGGTCTTGACCACCACCTGCTGCCTGTGCTGCTGCTGCTCCTGTTGGAAGCTGTCCACCTTTACAGATGAACTCATCATCTCCTGCGCCATGCTCGTTTGGGGCACACTCGCCACCGAGCTGCTGTTAACGGTCATCTGTTGAAATGCCGTCGCTCCGTTACCAACACCGGGGTTGCCGGTGCTCGGATGAACTTGATGAGCAGGCGGGGCCTGCATCATGGGCTGCACGAAGGCGCACGAATTCTGCGGTGCGGCGTTATGCAGCTGAACGCCGGGTGGCGGGCCCTGCTGGGAAGAGCGAGGTTGCTGCGCCTCGCCGCATGCTGGGCGCTCGAAGAATTTGGCCCTCGCCTCATGCGGCGCCGGGCCCGAGCACGGGGCCGGCAGGTCCTCCGTGCCGAGGAAGACCCACTCGTCGGGTGCGTCCCCGTTCACGGCCGGCTCCGCGCCGGCGTTCCTCTGCCGCTCCTTGAACATCTCGGCCCCCCTGCCGGTGAGGCCATCGATCGTGCCAAGCTGGGCGACGGCGGAGGCGGCCGCGACGCGCGCTCGCTCGGCCTCCATCTCCTGCTCGAGGTCGGTGAAGGCGCTGTCCTCGTCGAGGTCGGACTCGCTCGTATACGGTGCCGCGTCCGTGTCAAGACCAGCGTCCGTGTCGACGCCGCCGTCTGTGTCGTCGCCCTCGCCAAAGCTGACGAGCGTGTAATGCCTGGCGCGCCGCCGCCGCTTCTTGAACATAAGCACCCCCCGTGAGTGAGGGTCCGGCGCTTCGGTGAGCAGCGACGCGATAGTCCGGCACTTGGTCTTGGCCTCCTTCACCTGGCGATCGGACGAGCTCTCGCCGCGATGTAGCCCTGGAAAAGAGAGACGAGGCGGGATGGAGTGAGCCAAAGACAAAGGTGCCCTACACAGCCTACACAAGTGGTTGGGGCAAGAGCTGTTAAAGAAGCACCAATGAAGGCTGGCACGGTGCACGAAAGGGTATGGGCAGCACCACGCCAGGTCGCCTACATCTTCCGAGTGCTGATGTTTAGACACACTGCACCAGGTACTTATTTAAGGCCAAGCTAACTTAGGGGAGGGACAGATAATTACCACTGATGGTAACTGCCGGGTTCATGAAACAACACGCTTGCCACTATGCCACCAATCTCTGGAACAGGAGGAGGCACTGGATTGCTTAGCAGTCATATCAGTGCTGGTTTTGCACGGTAAGTAATCCTATTCCTGCTCTGCAGATGGGCAATGGTCCATCTTCAGAGTGTTATTCATCTAAACGACCATGGACTCGTTATTGGCTGAGTCGACACAAAGCCGGGATTTTAACTCGCAACCTTGCAACTTGTGAGTGGAGCGCTCTGCCAGACAGCACACCACTCAGACGCAAAATATTTTACTAGCAGCGTTTATGACGACAGCGGCGAAGTTCTTTCCACCAGTGCTTGTGCACTTCTGCCAACACGGGCTTTTAGGTTTGTTTGAAATTGAGCACAAGAGGCCAGCCAAGAGGCATTGAGAGTGGGAGAGACGAGGACACTAAACATAGCCCGTGTGGCTAGTGACGCAACGCAGACGCGTTGTGGCGTGATCATGAAAGCCTTTCTGGCTCTGTGGCTGTGGCCCCGTGTGGTTGAAATGAAGTCGTGATGCCACCTGTTGCCGAGTGGTTTTTAGCATGGGGCCTCTCGCTACGACCCCTAGGAGGGTGGCTTTAGCAGGGAAGTTATGGGTTTCGGCGATGAGGCTTAAATTTGGGAGGATAATATACACGTATGAAAGGCAAAGATACACTATGAAAGGCAAAGGTACACGTATGAAAGGCAAATATACACGTATGAAAGGCAAAGATACATGTTTTAAAGGCAAAGATACACGTATGAAAGGCAAATATACACGTATGAAAGGCAAAGATACACGTATGAAAGGTAAATATATAAGTATGAAAGGCAAAGATACACGTATGAAAGGCGATAATACACGTATGAAAGGCAAAGATGTTTTTTCTCCAATAAGCTTTAAAGACTGCTGGGGAACAAGTACTATTGGCCAGCACCTTTTTAATTATTAAGTGCAAATACATATTTATTTACGAACACTCTTCAATATAGTTTGTGTATATCATACTTGTGTACAATAAGCAATAAGCCCATCCAAAGCTGGTAAAAATTTGCTACAATTCAATCTAAATAGTTAATACACAAGCATTACTGAAATGTGGCAATACTTGGGTTGTAAAGACATTTACTGAAATATTTAAGTTGGTTAACCCCAAGCAGTCTATAACAAACATTAGTTTTTTTTCTCAAAAGTCTATGATCAACTTACCTATGTTACTGACCTAAAACCTTTTCAGTGACCTATGACCTTCTGACTCCAATGAGACAACATATGTCAACACTCAGGTCTGTGGCAGTGGAATCCTGTAAACAGATATACAGCCACGTGCTTTACACACTTGTGTCCATGGACCAATCTTCTAATTGTGCGCTTGCTAATGGCCTGCATGGTGCTGTGCCAGAGCACTCGCAATCCGAAAATTGAGAGAAGACATTGTCCCTTTGCAGTTGATAAAATAGATACCACTTTGTGGAAGTCAACAACGGTTGTCTTCTGGAAGGACTTGGCCCCCGACATAGGAATGTGGGATTTCACCACTGGCATCACGCTGCCCAACGTTCATTTGTCCAGGGAGACAAATCAATGACTAAACGATTTATGGTGACTGACTTCACTGCCGGAATCTTCCAAATTAACAATACAGTACAATTACAATGAAATTTAGGCGACCTAAGTTTGATTTCCAGCCATAGCTGACATCAGTGATATCAATCGCAATTACTGAAACAAGGGGAGCCTTTCAATGGCGGAGCCAGGATTTTATCGGTAGGTGGGGCAACCGCTCCAGCAATGAAAAATGATAGAGTTGTTAGTAAGTAAGGACTTGTCTGTTGCTTTTTATTCGAGGCGTGTGCGGTGATGGCGCAGCCATCGATCGAGGGTCGAATTCGAACCGCGTGGTGTGATCGGAATCGCGCTCGCTGAAGGTGAATGCCTTCAGGGAAGTCGTGGACTCTGTATACACAACTGCGCACAATTCTGCGAGTCACTTATAACTGCTGTGCCGTTACTTATTGCCAATTATGGACTCAGACTATTGTCCAATCATCTGATGGAGTCCCTGGCACGTAATAATAATATGCTACACAGTGGCAGTGGGGGTCGCAAAATGCCAATTTATTACTAATAAACCCCAATGATCCACTGGCTCCGCCAGTGGAGCCTTTGTTTCACGATAGATTGGCAAAGGGCTGTTCTTTAAAAAAATATAACGTCATGAAGATTGCCACGATATTGTTTCACGATATGATACAATGATTTTTCATGACAACGATTATCACAAAATCATTTCCCCTTATTTTGCAATTGTTTCACATGTATAACGCCTTGTGTTTTATGCTGTGCTGTACCTCCAATATGAACGTTATTCGACTGCAGTTCAATTAGCGTAAGCTTGCCCTAGCCCTTTGAATCTTTGTGACTTTATAAAGTTTTCCATAACGTTCATGAAGGAAATAGTGCCAATTACACCGTGACGAACATGATGATGTCATATTATTGCCATGCTGTTAAACTACTCGAAAAAGCTAAACTCAACACATTCAACACATGTTTCGGGCAATGGCCCTTCTTCATAGCAGATGAAAAGGGACTTCATAGCACACCGCACCTCCGATTAACACAACTGGCCATTGCCCAAAACATCGCCTCTTATATATTTTTTATTCTTTTAAGGCCACACACAGTGTTATTGACGCATGTATGTTGAACCTCTTTTGCACCGTACGTAACTAATCGTGCTAATCGGAGGTGCGGGAGAAGGACAACAAACTAAACACAAAAAACAATTCTAAAGAAATCAGTTTTCTATGTATGTATATTGACGAATTTGTTGTTTTTGTTTTGTGAATTGTGCTTCTGCACGAGCAGCAGTATCACCAAATAATTTTTAAAAAATTTAAAAGCGCTAATTTAACCTTATGGCGGGTCCCGAATAAACATAAATCTAAATTGTAAATAATGTATTTATTTTTGGCGACTACGTCCCATCACGCACACAAACGCCGCGACCCACCTGGCGCGGATCATTCTGTTGTCGTGTCGTGTCCAAGCGCAGCGAGAACAAATGCGCTGAAGAGCTGAACAAGCGAATGCACTCCATGCTCGGGTATGGGCAGGATAATAAATCTTATCCAAAGCTGCTCAAACTGCCTACATGACTTAAGTCCTTTATTTGTCATAACGGTATGCATAATACAGTGAAACTGCTCTCTTATCTTCATTATTATTTGTGACCTACCAATGTCTGAAGCCAGGATCAATCGATGACAATCCTATTACCTGCAGATATTTAACAGATGAGATGCGTCGCACCGTTAATTCCTCCTGTTTGATTATAATACTTCTCTTGTCCATATGCATCTGTGCAGATAGGTTTTTTTTTGCGGTTAAGCCATAGTCCCCACATACCGCTCGTATCAATGCGGATAAGAGGAGCGGCAGCCCACTCCTCTGTAGAGTAACATTGATATAAACGCTTGTTGCAATATGAACAGCGCATTTAAAACGTGTACTATTTTATGTACTGTGTTCACAAATCCACACTGAGAAACACGATGATTGACAGAGGGGTGTAAATATTTTTTTCATTAGTGTATTTAAATAGAAGTACTGCAGGTAAGTAGTTTTCAGTTTTAAAGGCATAGTTTAACAAGACAACATTTGCCACCATCCTTCAAATCCATTGCTGAAAAAGAGCAACGTTTTTGTTAACATTATAATATAATGTTTATGCGAGAGCCGGGGGCTTATGGGACTCCGGGGTCCCGCCATAAGGTTCAATTATCGCCATAACATTCATTCATCATCAGCAGCAGGAGCAGCAGCGGCAGCGCAGCTCCATTGCAGTGGCATCCGCATACGATATCCCACGAAGGCGTCCCCCACCATGAGTCACCCCTAACATTAGCAGACGAGTCTCTGCCATCCGTGCCTTGCAGGAGCGAGTATATTTAACACACGCGCCACAGACGTCAGTCGAGAGGCATGCGGGCCTGTCATGCCCTCGCCACCTGCCCGTACGCATTGACCGCCTCGTGCACAAAGACAAAGGTCCCCCATATAGCCTTAACAGACTGTTGGGGCAAGTGCCGTTGGCGAGTAGCACCGTTGAAGGCTTGCACGAAACTCGAGGGGGTGCGATGGCCAACACCACACCTTTGTCTCCCCAGTGACGGATGTTTTTATACATCGCACCAAATACTAATTTGAGTCCGAATCAACCTAGCAGAGGCCCAGGACCAGTTCAGATAATTGTCACAGGTGCTGGCCATGAGCGGAAATCGAACTCGGATCGTAGGGCTGTTAGCGCAGCACGCCAACCGCTGCACTAACGCCTCGTGCACACACATACACACACGCGCGCGTGCGAGCCAGGCGGTACACTCCCAGTACTCAAAAGCTCTGGAGGAGAGGGTTGGTGAATTTGCGGAGTAAGGGGTAGAGTGCGTGGTTTGAGTCCCGAGGCGAACCTGGTTAATACTATATAAAGAGTAGGCCGTGTGTGCTGAGGTCATGTTTCACATTTGAGAATTTTGATACATTTCTTGCAAATTGCTTAAATGAGAAAACCACATATCTGCATTGCCCCCTATAGGCAGACGAAGTGCCCGAATTAACGTATTGGCGTATTGGAGCATAACACACTGGTCCTCATAAACAGCAACTGCGTCCGTGCAGTTGCCATTGCCGTTGATCGAACTGCCAACTCTCCTGCTGACAATGAAGCCCGAACAGA